ATTCCTTACTTTTATATAGCGCTTTTCTGGGCACTCAAAGCGCTTTACATAGAAGGGGAGAATCTCCTCAACTACCACCAGTGTGCAGCATCCACCTGGATGATGCGACGGCAGCCATATTGCGCCAGAACGCCCACCACACACCAGCTCATTGGTGGAGAGGAGAGGAGAGGCCAATGGGTGAATTTGGCCAGGATGGCCATTCTACCCCTACTCTTTTTCGAAGGACATCCTGGGATTTTTAATGACCACAGAGAGTCAGGACCTCGGTTTAACATCTCATCCGAAAGACGGTACTTCTTGACAGTACAGTGTCCCCATCACTATACTGGGGCGTTAGGACCCACACAGACTGCAGGGTGAGCACCCCCTGCTGGCCTCACTAACACCTCTTCCAGCAGCAACCTAGTTTTCTCAGGAGGTCTCCCATCCAGGTACTGAACAGGCTCAACCTTGCTTAGCTTCAGTGGGCAACCAGTCTTGGGCTGCAGGGTGATATGGCTGCTATATAAATATAAATGTTATATTTAATATTTATAAATCTGATTGGCTGAGAGCCTTTTCCAGCAGTGCGATACTCCAGTAGTATCAGCACTCTAACTGTAACAACAAGTGGAGTTATGCTAGCAGCATTTGTCTCAGTGAGCGTCAATGGCAGAAGAACGATATATAAAGATAGCGCCTATTTGACAATTTGTTAAGACGTTTTCTGAGATGTGAGCTCCAGGCTGGCAGCGGCTGTTCAGAGCTTATGTATCCACCAAGAACAGCTTTATCTCGGCCAGTCCTTTTGGAATTTGCTGCTGACTCTTTATGTAGATGATGTTAAACAAGGTATAGGCTTAATTCACTTTGGTTACATTAAACGGGCAATCTTTGGACTTATTAATCTATTACTTGTTCCAGAGGAAATCGATTTGGCTTTAGGGAAAAGTTAAGTTTCATATCTTTTTATTTTTATGCAATTAAATCCTATAGTAACTAGAGTGCTGTATATGCCATATTTGGTATTGTGAAAGTGTCCTTTAGGGATTATAATTTCATCTTCAGAGAAAGTTACATTATTACGACTGTCTTTAAGAGTGAGTCGCAAGAACTTTTATATTGAAAGGGACTGAAAAAAGGACGTTATTATTACTTTAAACAGCCTTATAAGATGCAACCATAGGGACACAACCAACAAATGCATTGACTCCGCTGTCAAGAGAAATCCCCTTAACGGTTAAAAGTACGAAGACAAAGATATCGCTTTCCTCAGTGGATATTCAAACTGATCTTGTGATTATGGATATAAGATCGACCTGAAGAATGAATATCAGATGCAATTAATAGACTCTCTCAGGCGATCTCTCTCTCTCTCATAATACTCGACTCTACGTAATACAATGAGCTGCAGTGAAGCGACTCAACGTTCCTTCGTTACTAGTTCTAAAGTGATGTTTTCGAATTAGTAACAGAGGCTTGGGCTCAGCTGTTAAACTGTCATACCGAGATTTGAATCTGTGGTGAACAGTAGTAGTTCCGCACAAAAGAGGGTTTTAAAAGACACTGTTGTTGTCTCTTCTTTATTTACGCACTTGTGCTGTTGAACTGTGTTGTATAAACCCAATATCCCAATAAACTGTGCATATAGCATGGCTACTCATGTGATATTGCTTATATATACATACATACATATATTTAATATGTAATGTAGCTACATTTTAATGGGATTTATCATGTAAACCCTTTATAGTATTTAATATTAAACCTTTGTTGGGAATTGTGTCATTGTTATAATGTAAAATTACTCTTATCATGATTTCGGTCTGTCCCTAAAAAAATTGGACGACTGTATGAGTTTTAAAGGAACACTCCACTATTTTTGAAAATAGCCTAATTTTCCAACTCCCCTAGAGTTAAACAGTTGAGTTTTACCATTTTCAAATCCATTCAGCCGATCTCCGGGTCTGGCGGCAGCACTTTTAGCTGTAGCTTAGCATAGATCATTGAATCTGATTAGACCGTTAGCATCTCGCTCAAAAATGACCAAAGAGTTTCTATATTTTTCCTATTTAAAACTTGACTCTTCTGTAGTTACATCATGTACTAAGACCGATGGAAAATTAAAAGTTGCGATTTTGTAGGCCGATATGGCTAGGAACTATACTCTCATTCTGGCGTAATAATCAAGGAACTTTGCTGCCATACCATGGGTGCAGCAGGCACAATGATATTGTATTGTATGTAGGCAATGTGTTAAAAAGTAACAGCGTGCCGTGAGACGTGATGCAGAAGCCAAATACGTCTTGCCTGAATGTTGCTGTGAAGATGGTGCTTTTGATGAGAATGAATTTAAAGATGTAACGTCATTGTAAACTTCTATTGACAGTGCAGACTGTCTGGTAGCCAAAGCACTGCGTGATAATGGCAGCCTTAAAATGTATACTATATGAAGAAGTCTTCACACTCATTAATTGTTTGTGGCATCTCAGGTGATGATGCAGACCTGTGCAGTGAGTTACTGCAGGAGTCTCTGGACGCTCTGCGGGCTCTCCCAGAAGCTACCCTGTTTGATGAGGGCACAGTGTCGCCCGTCTGGCTGGAGGTGGTCGAGAGGGCTACCAAATTCCTCAGGTTTGCCAGTCATTCATCTTCACTATTCCCAAATGCAGAAGTAGTAATATTAATACCTGTGTAATAAGTTTTTATCTTCTAACTAGAAAACTTGCATCAAGATACACCAAGATTGCATTTATTTAACCAAAAATACAGTACAATTTTATTGCAATGAATTTAATTTTAATTGATTTTTAAAAAAATGTAATATATTTTTAAAATGTGTTTTATTCCTGTGATGGCAAAGCTGAATTTTCAGCAGCCATTACTCCAGTCTTCAGTGTCACATGATCTTTCAGAAATCATTCTAATGTGCTGATTTGGTGCTCAAGAAACATTTCTTATTTTTATCAGTTGAAAACAGTTGTAATGGTTAATATTTTATTATTATATTTTATTATTTACTGGTTGGTGCCAAGAGCCTCGTGGTTAGTGCGTCGACATATAGCATAACTGCGCTCACAGCGACCCGAGTTCGATTCCCATCTCGAGGTCCTTTGCCGATCCTGCTCCCCTCTCTCCTCCCAGTAATTTCCTGTCTTCTCTCTACTGTCCTATCTCAATATAAAAGCATAAAAAGCCCATAAAAATAACTTAAAACAAATTTATTTACTGTAACTTTTGATCAGTTTAAAACGTCCTTGTTTAATAAAAGTATTAATTTCCTTTTAAAAAAAGTTCTTTCTGACCTCAACTTTATTTTTTAACGCAAACTGGTCATAAATCTACACATTCCTAAAGCTCATTGCTATTTAAGCTCATTTTACTCTAATGTTGTTTTTCAGTGACATTCATGGAAGTGCTAGTGGAAAAGCGCCCAGTAACATTCCCCTGCAGGATCAGCACTTGGCCCTGGCCATCCTTCTGGAGCTTGCAGTGCAGCGAGGAACTCTCAGGTATTCAGCATGATGTTACATATGACCACTGTCCAAAATTCCTTACTTGGTGTTAATTTTGGACCTTGCATGTGACTTTTCTGAGATTGTTGATAGGACTGAAGAGTCATATTCATAAACACTCTAACTCACTTTTGCATGTGATTGTGTTTTAGTCAGCTACTGTCTGCAGTTCTGCTGCTGCTGAGGCTCTGGGACAGTGGAACCAGAGAAATGGATAATGAGCGCTCGACCCAGGGCACCAGCGCCCCCTTACTGCCCCTCCTGCGGCGCTTCCAGAACATCCACAGCAGTAAGGAGGAGCCTGTTCCTGAAGAGGAGATTGAGGTGAGATTGAATCCCTGAATAATTTTTATAACTGCACTGTTCTTCCAGGTTTTATGTCTCACTACTTATGTTCTCAGATCCTTTCGGCCCCTCTGAGCCCAAATGAGAGTTTTCTGCGCTACCTTACACTGCCTCAAGATAATGACCTGGCAATTGATCTGCGGCAGACAGCTGTAGTCATCATGGCACACTTGGACCGCCTGGCGGCCCCATGCAGCCCCCTGCAGTGCAGCTCACCCACCTCTAACAAGGTTACTGCATGCAACACCGTGACTTGACATTTTATTTGCGTCTTACAGGACAATAATCATGCTACATGGTTGCCTAGAGTCCCACTTTTTATTGTTTGTGTTGAAGCTGCTTATTGACTCTAGAGCACAATGAATCTCTAGGAAGCCCCAGGGAACTCTTGTTTGTGATTATGATCTGTAATCCCTCTTTGAGGAAAACAAAATCATTCTTCTTAGAGCTCAATCTCTTCATGTCTTTCCTCTTCCAGAGTACCCTGCAGGAGGTGATTGGTTGGGGTCTGCTGGGATGGAAGCCTTACGCTAATGTGAATGGGCCAATTCAGTGCAAGGCACTGTCAAACCTGGGCGCCACACAGATTGTCTGCTCAGAGAAGGGTTTCCTCATCTTGACCATCACTGGTGCTGTCTACACACAAAACTACAAAAGCACTACGCTAGTGAGTCCCTCATTTTGTTAGCTGAATGCTATGTTGTTGTTGTTGTTGTTTTTTTCTCACACACTTTAGAGATTAATGTAAATGTGTGTATAGCTGTTGCTGACCAAGTATTTTCTCTTTATTTTTCTACTTTGTATTTGTGCACTAAACTAACCTGTGATTTCCTGTCAGGCCCCTATGCTAGTCCACGCATTGTCATCCAGGAAAATAATGAAGCTTGCAACTCACCCGGATGGGCAGCACTACTTGGCACTTTCAGGCAATGGGGAGGTGTTCTCCTGGGGTTGTGGAGATGGAGGCAGGCTGGGACACGGAGACGCTACGTAAGAGCACACCAACATCATCAAACTTCCAATGTTATCTTTCAGACCCAAATACTGTATATGCACAACAGTTCAGAAGTTTCAGGTAGATATGATTTTTAAAAAGTTTATAATGCTTACCAAGGCTGCATTTATTTGTTAAAAAATACAGTAAACGGGTAATATTGTGAAATAAAAAATTTCCTGTTTTTCTTTATATTACATTTGATTTATTTTAAAACCTAGCTTTGACATTACAGAAATAAACTGATTTTTGATCCTTCAGAAGTTATTCTAATATACTGATTTCTTGTTGTTACTATCAGTGTGCTGATAAATACTTTTGTGGAATCTGTGCCTTTTTTCAGGGTTTTTCGATTAATATAATTTTTTTATAGAACAATTTACTTTGAATGGAAATATTTTGTTCATACTTTTGTTTAGACAGGAAGAGCAAAGTTGGCACACCACAGCTCCAAAAGTAGAAAAATATGTATGTTCTCACCACAGGTGACGTTTCAAGCCTACAAGCTCTTCATCAGACAACGAACATCCATAGTTCAGCCCTTAAATACAGCACAAACCTAAATCACATGATCACCCACATGACCAAAAAAAAAAAAAAAACACGCATACAAGGGCAAAAAAAACAAAACAAAAAATCACCTCACATAATGGCAAAAAACATAAAAGTGGAAACATAAATTAATTACAAATGCTAAACCTAAACATATCAAAAGATACTTGACTGCAAAAAAATATCTCTCACAAAAATATTTTTTAAAAATACCTAATATTAAGAAAACCTATATATCATCATATTTTTGTTTAGAAATATAAATGATTTACTCCTGACTTTTGATCAGTTTAATGCATCCCTGTTGAATAAAAATCATTTATTTCAAAAAGAAAACTCTTGAGTGGTAAAAATGCATGTCATGTTTAAGGGAAAAATAAATTAATATCAAAGTCATCTAAGGCTAAGCACAACTATGTTGTCATTAACAGCTTTAAATTAACAGTTTAGCAATTATTATAAAAAATACTTAACCGTTCAATGCTGTGATTTGACCAGTCAAAACCAACCATTCCAGACAGCCAAAAACAGTATGCAATTTAAAAACAATATTATAGTTCTTTGTAAGCAAAGAATCACACAACATAAATTTTGTTTACTTGTGCTTCTACAGGTATTTAGAGGAACCCACCATGATTGCAGTATTCTCAGGGAGGCCGGCAGGGAAGCAGGTTGTTCACATCGCGTGTGGCAGCACGTACAGCGCAGCGATCACAGCAGATGGAGAGCTGTACACATGGGGCAGAGGAAACTACGGCAGGCTGGGCCACGGTAACATCTCCAGTATAAATCCAGCTAAAATCCACTGCTGTTTATAACAAGACATAGAGAATCTTACTACAGGACACAGTTAAATGTTGCTTGTATGTTTTTCTGAAGGCTCAAGTGAGGACCAGACCACTCCCATGCTGGTAACTGCTCTGAAGGGGCTTAAGGTGATCGATGTGGCCTGTGGAAGTGGAGATGCTCAGACCCTCGCTGTGACTGAGAATGGTACGACATCTAATAAGGGCACATTCAGAAGTGGTTTTAAGATAATGTGTGGATGGCATGATCATTTCTCTCGCATGCTCTTTACAGGTCAGGTGTGGTCATGGGGTGATGGTGACTATGGTAAACTTGGTCGTGGGGGCAGTGATGGATGCAAAACGCCAAAACTTGTGGAGAAGTTACAGGATTTGGATATCGTGAAGGTGTGCTGTGGGAGCCAGTTCTCCGTAGCTCTTACTAAAGATGGACAAGTGTACACTTGGGGCAAAGGAGACAATCAGAGACTTGGCCACGGCACTGACGAACACGTCCGCTATCCCAAACTGCTTGACAGTCTACAAGGTTCAGTGTTTTCCATTGTTTTCAATAATTGCGTTTTCACAAAATGCACATTTCAGGTTTTCGAAATCTGAAGGCAAAGTCAACATGACATATATATATTTTTTAACATGTTCCTGATGTAATATTGAAAAGTTCCTCATTGTGAATGTTTAATTTACATATTATTCCAAAGAAGGAAATTATTATTTTTTCTTTCATTGAAATATAACCGTGTTATTATTGTTAACTAAAACTATTAAAATAAATATTAAATTAAATAAAGCTGATATGAAATATTAGATGAAAAAGTAAAATAAAAAAACTAAAGCTATATAGAAATATAACAAAAACTAGTAAACATGTCAAAAGCACCTAACAAAATTACTACAATTTAAATTAAGATTTAAAAAAATAAATGTATGAATAAAAGCTCATTTAAAATATTAATTAATAAACACTATATTCGCATAAAAGTAATACTAAAATAACAAAATATCTTGATTTGCCTCTGAAAGGACTTGATATGCTTTATTTGAACAAAATAGCCAACTATTTAGGCATTTTTACAATCCAGATTTAATCAATTCCAGATGGATCAAATCAAGTCTCTCCCTACATTCTTTTGCCCATGGAATATTCACTTGTTTCACTTGTAAATGTTACATTATGGAAGCAAAATGCCATATCATGTTGACTTTATCAGCACATACATTTCAAAATATGGTTTATTTCAACTCGATCACCAGTTTATCTACTTTTTTTTTTTTTAAATTTTTTTTATCTGAAGTCTGCTTTTAACATTTAATTCTGTGTCAATTCAGGTAAGAGGGTGGTGGATGTAGCAGTTGGCTCTACACATTGCCTGGCCCTCACAGAAGAAGGGGAGGTGCACAGTTGGGGCAGTAATGATAAACTACAGCACTTTGACACTCTCTTCTCCAATAAGAAGCAGCCTAAAGCCCTGCCGGGCCTTAATTCCAAACACATAGTAGGCATCTCCTGCGGCCCTGGCCAGGTATAACCTGTCTTTCACCAGAATGTAATTCATTGTGTACTGCTTTTGACTGCATACTTCTTATCTTTCATATATTTTGTTTCTCAGAGTTTTGCATGGTCGTCATGCTCTGAGTGGTCCGTGGGGCTCCGCGTACCATTCGTGGTGGACGTGTGCACGATGACTTTCGATCAGCTGGACCTGCTGCTTCGGCAGGCCAGCGAGGGCATGGACGGCAGCTCTGATTGGCCACCGCCGCAGGAGAAAGAGTGCATGGTTGTGGCCGCTCTCAACCTGCTTAGACTACAGGTCAGTTGTCTAAAATTTTAGGCTACTGCCATATAAATGACAGAATGTACATTGATTTATTCCAAAATACCTGTTTGAATGGTAGGAATGGTATGTCCTCCTAAAAGCATAGTTCACCTTGAATATTGTCATTGTATTTTATCTCTTCCAGCTCCATGCAGCCATCAGTAACCAGGTGGACCCTGACGAGCTGGGTTTGGGCCTGGGAAGTGGGCTGATTAATAACCTCAAGCAGACGGTGGTGACGCTGGCCAGCAACGCCGGGGTTTTAAACACTGTGCAGGCGGCCGCCCAGGCCGTGCTCCAGAGTGGCTGGTCAGTGCTACTGCCCACTGCGGAGGAAAGAGCAAGAGCCCTGTCCTCACTGCTGCCCAATGCAGGTCAGTTCATAAATAACTAAGTGCTACTAAGTGCAGCAACTGGCTGGTTTACATCTGGTAACATCTGTGGATAAATCATCTTAGCAGCAGTTTTCTGCTGTGATGTGCAAAAAAAAAAAAAACAAGCAGTCAAGGTCATGTTTGTTTCTTATCACAGCATTGATGGTCAAAAGCAATTCTGTATTTTTTAGCATCTACTAATGAGATGAGTGTAAGTCCTGGCCGTCGCTTCATGATCGACCTCTTGGTTAGTAGTCTGATGGCGGACGGAGGGCTGGAGTCCGCTTTGAACGCTGCCATCACGGCCGAGATCCAGGTCAGCATGTTTTATTCATTAGTCACTTCATCATTTATTCACCCTTACATGCCTTATATCCCCAACATTCAACAGAGCACTGCCAAAAACCAGACAGAGGAAACTGATTCATGACCCCTGAGGGAAAAGTGTCAAAAATTATTTAAATTTTAAATGATTGTGTAAAGCCCGGCTCACACTGTGCGATTTTGGCCACGATTTGGTCGTCTGAGACAAATTTTGAAAATCCTAAAAGATTCCTATCATCCTAGGCTAAAATCTGTAGTCTTTGATCGTTAGATTGACATGTTCACCGACAGCCGATTAATGACCGTTGCGATCACATTTGACCTCCGATGAACTTCTGGCAGTGTCAGAAGATTTTGCTCACAGTCCTGCAGTGTGACATCTCCTACGACGAACGTCAAACTGTCTTCGTTTTTCAAGACAAGCCATGATCAGAATTAATGCTACATATTTCTTCTAACCGCATAAACTCCGGTGCTCTCGGCCTCTGCTCATGGAATTCATATGATTCGTTGCCTTTGCTATGATAAACACCGGTTGCGCTGCTGTTTTCATGTGGGTGTATAGTGCTGCTTGCACTATTCTGCATAAATACGCCGGTATTGCCGCCATTCATATACTTTTAATGATAGCCAACATTACAGCAAAGAAAATTTATCGTGGGTGCAATGCAGCTCGCAGTCACTGAACGTGTATGGGTTGATAATGTAGAACTCCGGACAAGTTTTCTTGCGCGCCCTCGTTTTTAACGCGTCTTGACTCGTTTTTACAGTCTGACATTAATGACAACTGAGATCCCACAGTGTGACATGATCATCATGTTCGTACAGTCTGACAAGTACAATCCTAAAGGACTTTTAAAAAATCGCACAGTGTGAGCCCGGCTTAATGTGTTATCTGAAACGTGTATATACTGTTATTTATTTATCTTTGTTTAATTTTTTTGGTTTGTTGTTTTTATTTTGGTTTGTTTTTTTATTTTAGTTTAGTTTTGATTGGTTTTGTTTTTAGTTTAGTTTGGTGTTTTTTTTTTTGTTTTGTTTTGTTTGGTTTGGTTTGAGTTTTTTTTTTTCTTAGTTTAGTTTTGTTTGGGTTTTGGTTTGTTTTGATCTTTTGTGTTTTTTTTTTTTGCTTTGTTTTGACATTCCAGTTAACTACTTTCTCTCCGTTTCTTCTATTAGGATATCGAGGCTAAAAAAGAGGCACAGAAAGAGAAGGAAATCGATGAGCAGGAAGCCAGTGCCTCCTCTCTGCATCGCTCTCGCACCACACTGGACAAAGACCTGATCAACACCGGCATCTATGAGTCAACAAACAAGCAGAGCCTTCCATTGGTCCAGCTGGTCCAACAGCTGCTCAGGTACTGCAGTGATTCACTTTTCAATGCATGAAACATTTGGAATCTTAAAGAGGGTTTTAGCAAAAGTAACACTCTTAATCAACTGAACTTCATAGCCTTTAGTAACACTCTTCCTTGTGTTTTATTCTGTAGAAACATTGCTTCACAGACTATAGCTCGTCTTAAGGATGTGGCACGACGAATCTCAAACTGCCAAGACACGGAGCAGGTCAGCAAGGAGCGCTCGGCCTCTCTGGACCTACTGCTGCGCTTTCAGAGGCTGCTGGTCTGCAAGCTGTACGTGGGGGTCAGTGGCACTGTGGGTGTGGGAGGATACAGTAAGTAGAAGAACTTAATTTTGTTAAGGAAGCCACCGTTTGAGCATCCAGTCAAGAGTATCTCTTATTGTCACAGCTTTGAGTCACTCCGAGATTCTGGGTGTGGGGTCTCTTTTGAAGAAGTACATGGCTTTGCTGTGCACACACATTGGAGATATCCTTCCTGTGGCCACCAGCATCGCCCTCAACACTCATCGTCACTTTGCAGAGGTGGCACGTGTCCTTGAGGGAGATCTCACAGGTAAAAATGCCATGTTGCTATATAAAATTCACCAAATTTAAATTATAGCTTCAGGATGATTCTAGCATTGAAGAAATAAATTCATCTAAAAATGACAATTCTGTTTATTTAAATTTAGAAAATTATTTACATTCATGTCGTTCCAAACCTATGTGATGATTTTTTTTTCTCTGAAGTCTCTGAAGGCATTTTCAGTTGCAAAGCATCCTGTTTCTTCATTCTCCAGGTGTTTTGCTACCAGAGTTGATTGTCTCCATCGTGCTACTGCTGACCCGTGATGCTGGCCTGATGCAGGAGACCGGATCCATTCCTCTCCTCGCTGCTCTTCTGGAGCACGTGGACCGCTTTAACCATCTCTCCCCTGGTATGGAGAGAGATGATAATGAGGATCTCGCCTGGCCTGGACTCATGGGTATGTGACAGATTAATCCACACACTTCCTTCATAACCAAGACGGTCTGATTGCTTAATTGAGTAATGCTTTAATCCAGTATGAATATATTTATGTATTTAAAAAAAAAAAAAAAAAAGATCTTATAGTAAATGTGATAAAATCAAAACTTGACATGTAAAGGATACAATATTTAGTTTACTAAAGATAATTGAAAGCAGAAAAGTGCAGTGGAGTAAATGAAGAGCAGTGAAGCACAATTCTTTGTTTGCAGGATTCTTTTTAAATGGGTCAAGCTCAAAGAACAATGAGGAAGTGTCGCTTATCCGCAAAGCTGACCTGGAGAATCATAACAAAGATGGCGGTTTCTGGACTGTCATTGAAGGGAAGGTCTATGACATTAAAGACTTCCAGACTCAAACTTTAACTGGGAACAGCATCCTCGGTATAACAACATTACTAAAATGACTAAAACCTTTTACTTTGTTTTCAAATAAAAAGTTTATTGACATCTGTTTCCCCTCACAGCCCAGTTTGTTGGAGAAGACCCTGTAGTAGCTTTAGAGGCCGCTCTCCAGGTTGAAGACACCAGGGAGTTCATGCAAGCTTTCTGTGTGGGACAATACATGGAGGTCTGTGTGTCTTTGTATTATAGATTCTAACTGCTTTATTCTCAAAATGTTTGGACTTCATGTTTCTTCTTTTTTTGGCTGTCTTTCTCCAGCCCAACCAGGAAATGGTGACAACTCCTGGCCTGAGCAGTCTGTCCTCACCTCTTATAGATGCTGAGAGGAACCTTGGTCTGCTACTGGGGCTACATGCCTCATATCTGGCTATGAGCACCCCTCTCTCCCGCATAGAATTAGAATGTGCCAGTGAGTCTATTTATTTAGCTTATAATATTGCAAACGTTTCAGTGGTATATCAAAAAATCAATACAATAAAAAAAAAAACATTTAACAATGTAATTTAAAAAAAAAATATATATATATATTTAATCACCTTTAATCTTGTACCTTCCAGAATGGCTCCAGTCGTCGATTTTCTTTGGTGGTCTTCAGATGAGTCAGATCCAGTATAATTATAATGAGGAGAAGGATGAGGACCACTGCAGCTCTCCTGGGACCACCACACCAGACAAAGCCAAACTCTACTGCCGCAGAATCACCCTGAGTGATCATGCCCAGCCCTTCCTGCAGGCCATCGCTGACAACAACACCCAGGACCACACTGTGAAGGTCATACACAGAGATAGACTATAACTTATTTGTCTCTTTATTTAGTATAATTTATTATGCAGCCCATTTCCTAATATTTGACTGTCAAATTGATTATTACAGATCATGTATAATTGTTGGATTCTTTCTTATTTGCTGCAGGACTTTCTATGCCAAATCGAGCGGTGCTGTAAACAGTACCATCTCATCACTCCCATCACTTTTCCGCCAGAACATCCTGTAGAGGAAGTGGGCCGCCTGCTGCTCTGCTGCCTTCTCAAGCACCAGGACCTTGGTAACTTAAAAAGTGCTTGTTTTATTGAATGATGTTGGCTTCTCTGTATTTTTGATTTCTGAAATCCTGCTCTGTGAACTAGCCAAAAACTCTAAACAGAGTTGTCAATGTTACTGTTCATTTCTGTTTTCTTATACAGGTCATGTCGCCCTCTCACTTGTTAATCAGTATGCCTTGGGTTTGGACCAGGGGAAACAGAGGTCCCTCCCTAAATCTGTGATTGATGTGTGTCGAATGGTGTACCAGGCCAAGTGTTCTTTGATAAAAGTGAGCTAAATAATGGGAATATTCTTGATGCAGCTCAAGCTGTCATATTTGTGATGAAATGTAAATTAGTAATTACAAACACTTTAGCTTTACATTTTAATACATGGTTATGCCAGGTGTAAATGGGGTTGGAGTGTAATGATGATTTCTTTGACCCCCTCCTCTCTGATCTTTCCCCCATCTGCTACAGACGCACCAGGAGCAAGGCCGCTCTTATAAGGAGGTGTGCGCCCTAGTGATCGAGAGGCTGCGTTTCCTGTTTAATGAGCTCCGGCCTGCTGTCAGTAATGACCTGTCCATTGTGTCCAAACTGAAGCTGCTGAGCTCTCAGCCTCGCTGGAAAAGGGTCACGCAGAAACTGATCAGAGACCGCCGCAAAAAGAGAGGTGACAAGTCTGACAGTTCATTTAAATGTTCAGTGTAAAAGGATGTTCGGTTTATAATTATAGCATGTTTTGCTTATTCACTCAGTGCTTAAGAAGTCAGAGTCAGCTGATTTGGAGGAGGGTAAGATGGAGAGGGAAGGGACCAATGAGGAGCTGCCTGCTCCAATCAGTCCCACCCCTGTGGACAAGAAGCAAACCACTGACAAATCCCCAAAGGTTTGCTGTTCTCCATTTACCTTCAGTATTTTCTTTCTCTCTCTCTCTAATTGAATTATGCATATCTCCGTAAGATCTGATGAGACTATCACAGCTGTGGTGTGTGTCTATAAATAACTCTTGCATGTCTGGCTCTGACATCTTGATGTTAATCTGCATGTGTTACAGCTACAGGACAGTTCCTTTCAAAGTTGCTTTAAATACCTTCCCCTGCAACAGCATCTTTTTCAGTTGAAATTACTGCTTGATTTGGGGATTTACTTGTACGTTCTATATGTTTCATAGTATTTATGCTTTGTTCACTTTTTCTTTCTACATTTGTTGTCTTTACTAGTTTGTTTATTTACTTGTTTTACTATTTGTAACTAATTTACTTACTAGTTAATTATTTATTAACATTTAATGAGTTGTTTTGACTTAATAGGGTCTCTTTGCGTTAATACATTTGACATGTCTTTATTGAGGAGCTTTTCTTTATAATTATTCAATTTGAATTAAAGCATGTCATGTAATTCCTTCTATTAAAATGTTTATTTGATTAACATCCTGATTCATTTTCTTCTACTTTATCTTGTAGCAGGATAAGTGGCAGCCTCTACTAAACACCATAGGCAGTGTTCAGAAGTACCGCTGGTTAAAGCATAGCGTTCAGGGCTCCTTCTCTCAGTCCAGCCTCATGAGCGCCATCGTTGAGTTTGCTCTGAAAGAGGAACCGCTGGATGTGGAGAAGATGAGGAAGTGCCTTCTTAAACAGGTAGTTAAAACGAAGTTCAACCAACCCCATCTGTTTTGTCTAAAAAGGTAGTTCTGAACATAAAATGGACCTGTAAATGACAGTATTTAACTCCTAACAATAACACTTGTGTACAGTTGGAGCGAGCTGAGGTCCGGCTGGAGGGTATAGACACTATGTTGAAGCTGGCATCCAAAAACTTCCTCCTGCCTTCCGTACAGTACGCCATGCTCTGTGGTTGGCAGAGAGTCATACCTGAAGGGACCAATATTGGGCAAGTTTAAAGCTATAAACAATCTTCAAGCAGGACGTTTGTTTTTCATGTTCTGTTTTTAGTAGATTCTTTTGTGTTTTGCAGCATATTTTAGTATGGCAGTTCAACAGTATCTTGCCTTGGTTTGTATTTACATTCATATCTGTTTTGCCCTGATAGAGAGCCCCTGGCTGACTGCCTAAAGGATGTAGATCTCATTCCTCCATTTAACCGCATGTTGCTGGAGGTGACGTTCGGTAAGCTCTATGCCTGGGCCATCCAGAATGTCCGCAACATCTTGTTGGAGGCCAGCGTCAAGTTCAAGGAGCTGGGTATGTGTGAAGTCATTACAATGATTATAAAACACATTTAATTAATGTACGCTACCCCTTCAAAAGTTTGGGGTCAGTAAGATTGTTTTAATTCATTTATAAGGTGACAGAAGATCCATATTTCAAGTAAATGCCGCTCTTTTGAACTTTCTTTTCAATAAATCTTAAAAGAATTGTATCAATTTCCACAAACATACTAAGCAGCAAAACTGTTTTCAGCATTGATAATAATAAAAGTTAACGTGTAGTCGCTCACTTTTTATCTATATAATGCATCCTTTCTGAATAATAATAATTTCAAAAAATTTTTATAAAAAATAATAAAAAAAATCATACTGTCCCCAACTATTTGAATGTTATGGTATTTAGTATTACTGAATGTTGTTTCCTCTCCTCCAGGTGTGCAGCCAGTGCCTTTGCAGACCATCACTAATGAGAACCCAGCAGGCCCCAGTTTGGGTACCATTCCTCAGGCACGCTTCCTGCTGGCCATGCTCCACATGCTCACTCTCAAACATGGAGCCAACAGCCTCAGTCTCCTGCTGAACTCTGGCATCCTCGCCCTCACCCAGTGTGTTCTTCGACTCATTGGTCAGGACCTTCTCTTGACTTGCTTTCTTCTTAAATCGGATGGGTTTTATTTTATAGGGCCAGTTGTATACTGTCAGATTAAATACAATGGAGTCAGATGGACTTCACTGTAAAGGGTAATTTTCAGGGACAGATTGATCTCTTCTGTACTGTTTAATGTTTTTTTCTGAATATGTCGGCATTGCATTGCACAGGTCCCAGCTCTGATAGCAGTGAGGAGGAGCTGAGCTCTGTAGCTCACGAAGGCTCAGCTACAGTTCTCGAGGAGTCCAGGAAGGAGACGGCCCCAACCCCTCTCCCTGCCTCTGGCCCTGATTTGGCAGCTATGATGAAGATTGGCACTAGGGTGATGAGAGGACCTGACTGGAAATGGGGAGATCAGGCAAGTTAAAGCTGATGTGTTTGCCTTGTTATCTACACTTGCAATGCAGTGTTCATATAAGTGTGCACAAATTAGGGGTGTGCGATATATATCGTCTACGATAATATTGTAATTGTTGTTTTAACAATGTGCGTTTTGACATTATAAAGTATTTTGCAAAAACCATTCAAAATACCCCTACAGAGTACACTAAACTAGTGCGAGTGCTCATTTAGAGTGCGTTCTTTCACTGCATGATTCAATCTATTAAAATGCGTTTAGAATGATCACAAATTCAAGACATGGGGGCAAAAATGTATATATTATACCACTTCATATAGTTTCACACGAAGAGTGCCATTTTTTTTTCTCTCCAAAAATTACCATGATTACAAATGTGATATTGATTTTTTACAACAGTTCAATAAACAAGAAATTAATTAAGATACTTATGTTTTAGACACCATATTTCCTGTTTTTGCGCTATTTAGACGACAAAAATAATTCCAAACAAATTGCCACAGCACTGTTTTGCGTCTCTGAGCAACATGACAGTGTTTCGCTCCTGAATGAATCAACCGTTTAAATGATTCGGCTCAATCGCAATGACTCGCTTATTAACAGTGACTTGCTGCCACCTACTGGCGGTTTTAAGGCTGCCGTTCTCAGCGCCATCAAAATAAAAGTCCCGCCACGAACGCATCGGCCAAACAGAAAAACTTATCGGCCGATGCCGATATTTGAAAAATGCCAAATATCGGCCGATATATCGGCCTTGGCGATATATTGGTCGACCATTAGTTTTAATTTCACATTTAAAGTATTCATTTTTTAAATTATTTCAAATATCTCAGTATTCAACGTTTTATGTTTAATATCAAAACATTATTTATGCATTTGTAATTGCAGGTTAAATGCATTCACGTCTTGCATTAAACAGTGTACATCTAAATGCCACTTCAGATGCAGCTTCTGTGTTTCCTCAGGCTTGCAAAGATGAATTTTATTGATACTGATATCATTTGCTTGGTAACATCCCAAATGTCTTATTATTCTAATTCACTGATTAAATGTAAGAATCTGACTCAAAAGATAACGGTCACTTAAAGAAAAAATGGCTTTATAAAGGTAAAAATGCCCATGAAATGTAAAAATCAGTTTTATCTTATTGGAAAAGATTAATTTCTATCAGTGTGAACTGACCACCCCTAGCACAAATGCATTGTCAGGTCAGTTTATTCAAGTTTCTGTTTGGTGTGTGTTAGGATGGACCACCACCAGGCATGGGCCGTGTGATTGGGGAGTTGGGAGAAGATGGCTGGATTCGTGTACAGTGGGACACCAGCAGCACCAATTCCTACAGGATGGGCAAAGAGGGCAAGTATGACCTTAAACTGGCCGAGCCGCCACCTGCCACCCAACCGGCCACAGAAGACTCTGACACAGAGGACGACACAGGTTTGTGATGCACATGGCACTGTCATTCCAGAGAACGAAGCATTTACTACCCAGTCTTGGTGCTTTACTGTATTTGTAATTGCCATGTTGATTTATACAATTTCTCCCTCTTTGTCTCAGAAGGGGAGGTGATGGAGAAGAGTGTTCACCCAACTGCAATCATGTTGACCAGTACAGTTAATCTGTTGAAGACACTGTCACTATCCTCTGGGATTCACGCTGAGGTGATGCAGGCTGACGCTATTAGCACTCTGTGTGGTCTACTCAGGATACTGGTGGAGAGTGGAGCCAATGACAAGACTGGTAACAGCCCAGAGTTTATTTGTTAATTTTTTTTTTTTTATAATATAATGTTTAAATTATATTTGAACCACATTCCTCCCTTTCTTCTTTAGGTTGTTCATCTCACAAGCTGGTGTCTCTTGAGCAGCACAGGAGCTGGTGCACACTGGGATTTATTCGCAGTATAGCTCTCATGCCCCAGATGTGCAGTACCCTGAGCTCCTCTGCATGGATCAGTCTGCTCATACGCATCGTGGAGGGCCACCAGTCCTTCACTGCCGTCACGCTACAGAGACAGGTGCCAACATTGCATCCTGGTTTCATTTAACACTTACTATGAGTTCTGACTGGATTTACCAAGAGGATGAGAGCTTTCCTTGTCTCATTACAGTAAAATTGTCATTCTAAAACCTTCATGAGTACCACAGGGTTAAAATGAGTGCATTTAGTCTTCTTTCCTCACTCCCTGGCAGATTCTTGCCCTGCGGCTTCTACAGGTTGTTTTACCCTCCTGGGATAAGACAGAGCGCTCGCAGGATATGACGTTTCTGGTGGAGAAACTCTTTGGGTTCCTCGGCAGCTTGCTCAGCACTTGTTCCTCAGATTTGCCCCTCCTCAGGGGTACTGTACATTTATTAACTCCTTTCTCACTGTGTGCTCTTTGTGAGGTAGTACAAATGCTGATAGCAGGATGCCACTTTAACATCTCGTTTTGTGATTTACAGAAGGTTCGATGCGTAGGAGAAAGTCCCGCCCTCAAGCCTCTCTGACAGCAACTCACAGCAGTACCCTAGCAGAGGAAATTGTGGCCGTACTGCGTACACTTCACTCCCTTGGCCAATGGAATGGCCTTGTTAATGAATACATTAACTCCCAGCTCAGTGGTATCAGTGATATCATGGCAGGCAGACACACTGAAGCGGTACAAGTCCAATTTTGATGTTATTAGCCAACTAATATTAGTGTTGTAAAATAATGGAAGTATTTTACTAAAGGTACCATATATTGGTTTTGAGCCCTGGTTAGATGATATGGAATTTTTCTACATTGTGTTTCTGTCAGGTTGTGCTTGAAGACTACCTTCCCAATGCAGAAGCCCCGGCGGTGGGCAGTCTGATGGCAGTTTTGGCAGTCATCGGTGGGATTGATGACCGTCTGCGTTTGGGAGGACCTGTGGTTCATGAGGAATATGGGGAGGGCACTGTGACTCGCATTACACCTAAAGGACGAATCACTGTTCAGTTCCATGAGATGAGGAACTGCAAAGTCTGCCTGCTCAGTCAGCTCAAACCGGTACATATGCACCAACACACAGCATTGCTTCCCAAGTTGAGCATGTTGCATTGTGGGATACAGTATTCTACTCAGTGTTTTCTGTTGTATGTATACTACTGTTCAAACGTTTGGGCCAGTAAAAAAGAAAAAGAAAAGAGAAATGTATACCTTTATTCAGCAAGAATGCATTTCTATTCAAACTAGCTGTTATTTTTAACGTTCTTTTAATCAAAGCATCCTTAAATTATATTTCACAATACTTCTCTTTTTAATGTAATTTTGATTAAATAAATGCAGCCTTGTTGAGTATAAGATAACTATTTTCAAAAACACTAAAGAAATCTTGTTGACCCCAAAAATTATATTTGTAAAATATAATGTGCAATATACATACATATAGTGCTATATACTGCAGATATATCAAGAGTAGTAAATTTTTATGAACACAGCCATTGTTGGTCGTGGCTAGAAGGGATACAGCTAAAACCGGAAGCTAACAATAAATTAAGTTTTCTACCTATTAGATTGTTTTATTTACGTCCACACACCTACCCCAACCCTAAACCTACCTCTTACAGTAATGCAAAAACAGTAATTATTGTTGTACAGTCTGACAAATTACGCTATATTGATGTGCATATGCCCAGTAGACGAATCTGTATACCATCTAACCTTAACCACCATTGTTTTTCTTTATGGTTGATATTGTTGTTTATTTTCTGTCTGTCTGGATATCTTTGCAGATTCATATGGTTCCATTCAGTGTTCAGAACCTGCCCTTCACTGAGCCTATGCTGACAGTGTGGGCCCAGTTAGTCAACTTGGCAGGAAGCAAGCTAGAGAAACAACGCATGAAGAAATCCCTCAGCAGAGGACTTACGGGTACGCCACATGCAGCAATCACAAATCAAATGTCATTTTGATGATTTGATTGGGAAAAGAAATAGACTGTTCATGCAACCGTCCAAGCAAAAACATCTGTTCCACACTAATCTACGTATGATAATAAATATTCTGGTTTGTGTGTTTGTCATTGCAACAGATCAGGTGGATGTGCATTTGTTGCGGTGTCAGCAGCTCAGACTGTACATCCTGAAGGCAGCGCGTGCTCTGCTCTCCCACCAGGACAAACTCCGACAGATCCTTTCTCAGCCAGCTGTCATAGACGTCAGCCCTAATCCTACAGGTGAGACCAGAATGTCACCCTTGATCTCACTTCTAGTTTCAATCTGCATGTATTTTCGGATTCACTTATTTGCTCTTGTCTTTATCTCTGTGCGGTTATCTTTCAATGCTGTGTTGTCAAAAGTTATAAAATTTTCTCACAGCTCACACACCAAGCAGAAAATGCAGGAGTGATGAGGAGTCATTTATATCTGTTAACTGTTTATAATGCACTGGGAACGACTAAATCATGTTCCGTTGTATCACATCACTACCCCCTGGTGGTCACATGTAGATTTTTATTATTATTATTATTATTATTATTTTGATGACTGCTTTTAAATATGGTGTCTTCTCTGTGCGGTTATCTTTCAATGCTGTGTTGTCAAAAGTTATAAAATTTTCTCACAGCTCACACACCAAGCAGAAAATGCAGGAGTGATGGGGAGTGATTATATCTGTTAACTGTTTATAATGCACTGGGAACGACTGAATCGTGTTCCGTTGTATCACATCACTACCCCCTGGTGGTCACATGTAGATTTTTATTATTATTATTATTATTATTATTTTGATGACTGCTTTTAAATATGGTGTCTTCTCTGACAATTTTGTAATGCTTATGCTTATGTTATGATTTTGTGTGTTTGTGTTCAGAGGATCAGTGTGCGTCGTCTCCTGATGTGGGAGATTTGTCTCCCGAGGGTCCTCAGCCTCCCCTCATCCTCCTCCAGCAGCTGCTGTCAGCATCCACTCAACCATCCCCCATCAAAGCCATATTCCACCGCCAGGAGTTGGAGGTCAGAGACCGTATTTACACTTCCTTAACATTTTATTTTACGTATGGCAAATTTAATGACTAACAATCCGGAACATTGACCCAAAAACTTAAATTATAGCTATAGCTGTAATTTTTGTTTTGTTATAATAAATATAATATAATATAATAATATATAATGTATACAAATATTGCATACAAATTAGGGATGTATCGGCCGCCGATATTTATCGGCCGATTTTTTTATTATTTTAAAGCCATCGGCATATCGGAAATAGCATGAAAAAGGCCGATACCGATGGTTTATTAATTAACTGCATGGAGACAATGAGTTGCATGTCTGTTGCATAATCCAATGTTTTTCTCTGGGCAAAATAATTAAATACTTGCCAAAACAAAATAAAATCTGTACAAAATATAGTTTGTCAGACAGCATAGTATGGACAATGCAAATGTGACACTGACGCATCCAACCAGTGAAATGCCCGCGCTCCGCTGTAAATTCATCATAGGTAACGGTAAGTGGCAATGGCAATGCCCCGGAGTTAGTTTATCTGAGGATATGTCACAAACCGCCAATTAAGCATTAGGCCTACATTTAAGTGAAAATTATTATCAGGTAATATGCAGCTTTTTGTGTGTTTGAAACCAGCAAAAATGGCTGGATCGTGTAGAACACGGATTCACACAAGTTCACATCATGCACCTGCAGCGTTTCTGTGAACAGAGAAAATGGAATAAAACTATATAGGCGACATAAAAAGTAATATATTGGCCTATACACTAAATATATTTCACTTAAATCATTAACAGATTAACAAAACGAAATAAATTGTGCTGAGTTTGGATCATTGTAACGCGCTCCGAAGTTCACGGAAAGGAAAGACGTTTTCTTTATTTTGCAAAAGCTTTACAGTTTTGAATCGCGTCAGCGACTCATATGCACATACAACATATTTTTGCTAACTTGACATCGCAGCCTGTTCATTATCAAAATAAAATACAGCTAAAGATACATAAAAAGTTACACTGTTCAATTTAAATAGTCCGTAGTACAGTCTGTGCCGTCCAGCGTAACCACCGCCTCACTGTGCTGATGTCGAAAATGCGAGTGAAGAACAAAGCCTATAGTTTACATAATAAATAATATTTTAGCATCCAGATACGTCTTCAATATATGGAAACATTTGGATTCGTGCAGAATGAGAAGAGGTAGGCTTCAGTTTCGCTTTTAAATTAATTAGTTTTGGCTTACAACTTTAGAGGATTTGTTGTGGAGAGAAGGGAACTAAAATAGCCTAATTGTGTTTGTAATGTTTGTAAATATTTTGCTTTATTTACTGGTGTTTTAGCCTACATTATTTCTGAATGATAATAATAAAATAATATATTAATAATAAAATGCGACGTACAGCCTACTAATTTAGGCTGTTTTTTCCTCTCAAAACGCTTATAAGGAGTAGTGTTTTTTTTAGCCATGCTGCAAACATTTTTAAATATCTTGGAAAAAATAGGCCTACTTTAATGTCTTTAAAGCGTTGACAGTATTTTCTTTTGTTTAATACATTTGGTCAAAATCTAGAAAAGATGATGCTGTATTGGCTATGACTAAGCACAAGATAGGCTACCAGATCCTGCTTTTACTTTTAAACAAATAAGTGCAATGTGGGTGAGCATAAAATACTTTTTAAATGCATAAAATCAATCATACTGTACTTATAGTTATTATAATATATAATATTTTTCAGAATATATTATATTATTTTTCTGTGGTAATCAACATTATGCCTCAGATGCTGTTGATAGAACTTTGTGATTGTGATCTTAAAGCCTTTCAGTTACCAGCTCAGATGTTACATCACCCAGTTCTTTCATCTTTTTTTTTTTTCCTCCCTGAATTTCAAATGTCTTTGTGCTGGTATGTGTGATTAGGCAGCAGCTCTGGCAGTGTGTCAGTACCTGGCAGTTGAATCCACACACCCGTCCTCCCCCCTATTTGAGGACAGCAGCTCCAGCGAGGCCACCACACCGGTCACTGTGCAACATATGCGCCCGCCCAAGCAGAAGAAACACAAGACTTCACCTGTGCCCCCTGCTCCCATCGTCCTGCAGCTGATGGAGATGGGCTTTCAAAGGAAAAACATTGAATTTGCCCTTAAATCACTGTCTGGAACCACAGGCGCTTCTGGAGTGCCAGGTACTGCACCACTAGCTCAAGTTTATGAATGTTAAATTGAATTCTGTCTGTACTACATGCTTGAGTACTCAAAGTTCCTACCCTTAGAAGAAAGTACCATTGCTTACATGGTAACTTAGTAATGCCATGGTCATTTGGGCACTACCATGTTGATTATACCATCGTCTTCCCTTTTTTACATGGAGCATTTTTGTTAGCAACTGATTCATTATGTTTGGGTTTTAGGTGTAGAGGCATTAGTGGGCTGGTTGTTGGACCATCCAGATGTTCACATTACAGATGTGTCAGATGCAGATACTGTATCAGATGAATACTCTGATGAAGAGGTGCTGGAAGAGCTAGAGGAGCCTGAGCCAGCCTTCCCTGTGGTGTGTATAATTACACATACACACAATGATCCGTCACACACCAGATATGAAGTGCAGATTCACTTGTAGTCATTAAATGCGTAACAAACGCTCTTTCCCTTGCATGTCAGCCTCCTGGGGTTGTGGTGACTGAGAGTCAGACTTTTAAAAAGAGGTCGGATTTTCAGAGCAATGATGATTATGCTGTATATGTGAGAGAGCACATTCAGGTGAGGAGCTACGCTTGTTTATTTATGGTTTTGGGTGGTAATGGATGAGATGAGCTGATCAGAGGCCTGTGTGTGTTGCAGGTGGGCATGATGGTACGGTGCTGCAGGACATATGAGGAAGTATATGAGGGAGATGTGGGGAAAGTGATCAAGCTGGACAGAGATGGCCTGCATGATCTGAATGTGCAGTGTGACTGGCAGCAGAAAGGAGGAACGTACTGGGTCCGTTATATCCACACTGAGCTGCTGGGTAAATCCTCTTTATGTTCTGCTCTTAAACACTTTATATGGACTGAAGTCCTAATTGCATTTTTATTGTATCAGTAATATTTATTTTTCCTGTTACTTATAGTGGATTTGTTTATTTATTAACATACAGTATTTGTTTAAACTAAATAAATGTTATTCTCTATTATCCAGGGTTTCCTCCCCAGACTTCTCCGTCCCATATTAAGATAGGTGATAAAGTGCGAGTGAAGCCCTCGGTCACAACGCCAAAGTACAAGTGGGGATCTGTCACTCACAGGAGTGTGGGTGTTGTCAAAGGTAACAGGATCATATTTAAACAGGTTTAAACTAGTGCTGTCAAGCAGTTAATCACATCCAAAATAAAAGTTTTTATTTACATATGTGTGTGTACTGTGTATATTTATGTATATATAAATAGACACACATGCATGTATATATTTCAGAAAAATATGTTGTTTATGTATTAAATATATTTATATGTAATATAAATTATATGAATATAAATAAATACATGTACATTTTTTCCAAATATATTCTGTATGTGTGTGTGTGTGTATTTATATATACATAATAAATATACACAGCACACAGACATAAATTATGTAAACAAAAACTTTAATTTCGGATGCGATTAATCGTTTGACAGCACTAGTTTAAACAAAATTTTCACCTTAAAATTTACTGCTTGTCCTCATGTTCAAATGTGTTTTTCAGTTTTGGTTGAACTATACTTTTATGCGGATTGTTTTGCTATGTATCTCGAACCTGTAGCACAGGGCTTTCTCTTCAGGGATAAATGAAAACTGTTGTTGCTGGGTTTGATCCTACTGTGTAATTATGTAACGTTTGTGTCCAGCTTTCAGTGCCAATGGGAAAGATGTGATAGTGGACTTTCCTCAGCAGTCACACTGGACTGGGCTGCTATCAGAGATGGAACTTGTTCCCTGTGTACATCCTGGTGTCAGGTACAGAGTACAAGTGAAAATCACCTCTTGATGACAAATAAATAAATAAACTAAATAAAATGATACTGTTTCTACACTTTTCTTAGGTGTGACGGATGTCAGATGTTCCCTATAAATGGCCCCAGGTTTAAGTGTCGGAGCTGTGATGACTTTGACTTTTGCGAGAGCTGCTTCAAGACCCGTAAACACAATCCTAGACATTCATTCGGACGAATAAATGAACCAGGTCTGGGAAAATTTCATGTGTTGTTCAATAGCTACTTTGTCATTTAGCATTACAAAAGTGTAACCTAATCATTTCCCTTTAGGTCAGTCACCCACCTTCGGTGGGCGTTCAGGAAAGCAGCTAAAGAGGCATCACAACAATCAGCGTGGCATGCTGATTGATGAGTGGTCCAGAGTGGTGAAGAACCTCAGCGTTTCATCCTCTGTTAACCAGGCGTCTCGGCTCATAGACTGTGGAGAGCAATGCTGGCAGTCCTCAGGCTCTCAGGGCAAGGTCAGACTAATTATAGGCATACACTACTATTCAAACATTTGGGGTCAGTAAGATATTTTATTTGTGTGTACTTTTACTTTACTTGTGCATTAAATTATTGACTGTAAGATCCATGGCTTGAGCATTGTGGGGCGTGTCCGCGCAGAGGATGAAGATCTGGCTACTGTGCCTTTCCTGGCATCTGACAATGAGGAAGAGGAGGATGAGAAGACAGCGACTGGAAGGTGTGCGTTTTGTTGCATTTGGTAAAGTAGAGAAAGCATGAACTGGTGCGTTATTTAGTTTCTCTTTCTATCTCCTTTTGCAGTCTGACTCGAAAAAGGTTGTCAGGGCTGGAGTCCGCTGCCACCATCAGAACCAAAGTCTTTGTCTGGGGTCTCAACGATAAGGACCAACTTGGTGGACTTAAGGGGTCTAAGGTCAGTAATGTGTAAAAACACATTCAAATTTGTAGTTTTTTAATTAGATTTAAAAAAAATATTATTTATTTAATATAATATAATATTTTCTATAGAGGTCTTGATTATATGATAGCATAACTTTTATAGCTATAGCTCGCAATGACAAATCTTAGTGTCTTGTTTTCTCTCTCAGATCAAAGTCCCATCATTCTCAGAGACCCTGTCTGCGCTGAATGTAGTGCAGGTGGCTGGAGGCTCTAAAAGTCTTTTTGCTGGTGAGTTTATGCCTTTATGCCTTTGCTGCTCAATGCCATGCGTTACATTGATTGCACCACCAGTTAAGTGGTCTATGAAGTTTCAGTTCCAACCCTGGGTGTATGATGCAAGGTGGTAAAAATCACTGTAACGCATGGCCTTGTGTATCATTTTGCTTTTGCAAAATAGCAGCAACAGCAATGTGATACAAGACACCGGTGTGGCTTTCTAGTTGTATTTTTATATCTAAAATTAGTGTTTTATTAGCATTGGATGCTTATTATTTTGCAGTTAGATACCGAAGTATTACATTATACTCTTTTAACCAAATTAATGATTGATTCTTTGTCTTTACAGTGACTGCTGAGGGTAAAGTATTTGCCTGTGGAGAGGCCACTAACGGAAGACTTGGTTTAGGACTGTCCAGTGGAACCATCCCTATACCAAGACAGATATCTGCCCTCAGCAACTATGTGGTCAAGAAAGTTGCTGTACATTCAGGTATGCCCTTTTTCCGTTTTAAGGAAAGCATCCTTTGTTGTCAGAATGTGTTGTTTTAAAGTGGGTAAACTGTTTGTGTTCAGGTGGTAGGCATGCCATGGCGTTGACTGTGGATGGAAAAGTATTCTCTTGGGGTGAAGGAGATGATGGCAAGCTTGGGCACTTCAGTCGAATGTAGGTCATTCATACCTCTTCCAATAGGAATGTAGAATATGTGGAAGGTTTCTAGAGGGATCTCATGAGAATTTTCCTTTTTTTCCCACCAGGAACTGTGATAAGCCACGGCTAATTGAGGCATTGAAAACCAAGCGCATTCGAGATATTGCCTGCGGCAGCTCTCACAGTGCCGCCATCACCTCGAGTGGTGAACTGTACAGCTGGGGTCTGGGTGAATATGGCCGTCTGGGCCACGGAGACAACACTACTCAGCTCAGACCCAAACTGGTATTTGTTTTACTTGCAGTATATCATTAAACTCAGAGCTCTCTGTTCTAAACTGCAGGGTTACCATATTTTTTGCAGAGGAATCCCTATAAGTTGGAGGTGATGTGCGATGCACAAAGGAAACACATTTTATATCATATACTATTTTTAATATGTAATTGAAAATTAATTTAGGCAGAATCTTTGAAGATTTAAGCCTTGCCCCATTTATGTAGATAGTAGCTGCACTTGTATGCCTATTGATACAATAAAAAAAAAGAAAATGTCAAGTTACCAAGATGTCTGCAGAGTGGACTGACTTGCTTTAAACTTGCTTATTCTCATTGTGCTGTTTAAATTCAGTGGATGCTGTGTGTATCCCTCATTGCACTAGATCAAACTTGTCTGTGTGTGGTTTGCAGGTCAAGGTGCTTTTAGGCCATCGTGTTGTCCAGGTGGCTTGTGGAAGTCGAGATGCCCAGACCCTTGCCCTTACAGATGAAGGTATAATCCTGCTTTTTGTTTTGTGGATTTAATGTAATGCAATTTAATGTTTCATTTGTTGTGTTTTGTGTTTTTGTTTCATTTGGTTTTCTTTGGTTCTGTTTATTTTCTTTTGGTTTTGGCTAGTTTTGTTTGCTTTGGTTTTGTTTGGTTCTGTTTAGTTGTTTTGGTTTGTTTCACCTGGTTTCGTTTAGTTCCGTTTAGGTTTGTCTGAGATTGTCTAGTTTGTTTTAGTTTAGCTTCATTTGGTTTTGTTTGGTTTCATTTAGTTTAGTTTCATTTGTTTTCATTTAGTTTTGATTAGTTCTGTCTGGTTCTGTTTGTTTTAGTTTCATTTGCCTTGGTTTTGTTTGGTTTTGTCTTGTTTCGTTTGGGTTCTGTATAGTTTTGTTTGGTTTTGTTTCATATAGCCTCACTTGGTTTGCTTTTTAGTTTGGCTTATTTTTATTTAGTTTCGTTTAGCTCTGTCTGGTTTTGTTTGCTTTAGGTTCATTTGACTTGGCTTGGTTTGGTTTGATTTAGTATATTTTTTTTTTAGTTTTGTTTGGTTTCGCTTAGCTTCATTTGGTTTGGTTTTTTAGTTCTGTTTTGTTGTTGCAGGCATATGAATTAGGGCTGCACGATTAATCGAAATTAAATCGCAAAGGCGATAAATCGCGATTAGGCAGAAGCTGCGATTGTCATGCATATCTTTTAGTGAAGCACGGTTCTGTGATCAACAGTAAATCTCCATCCGAAGGCCAGAGGGCGCTCTCGTGCGGAAACTCCAAATATGCCCTCCAGAAGAAACCCAGGAAATACCTATAGTGGTTGCTGGATAAACGAAGATTTAACTGCTTTCATTAATTCAACGTGACTAATAAACACACGACTACGACAATATATGGTTTATCTGCGAGCGTCTTATTATCATTTTTATTATAATAAAGTATATAATAATGCAATGCTAATCGACATAGCCTTTATCACTGCTTAGAATACTATGAAATATGTTGCGTGCCTTATTCTGTGTAAGAAGCCACATCATCTCTACGATGATGATACGCATGACAATCACATTCGATTAATCGTGCAGCCCTAATATGAATGTATGTTTTTATATGTTTTTTTAGGACTGGCGTTCTCATGGGGAGATGGAGACTTTGGAAAGCTGGGCCGTGGCGGAAGCGAAGGCTGTAACATTCCTCAAAACATAGAGCGTCTGAATGGGCAGGGGGTGTGTCAGATTGAATGTGGAGCTCAATTTTCCCTTGCCCTCACTAAATCTGGAGTTGTCTGGACCTGGTATGAATATTAGAGGAGATTTTGATTTATTTATTTTTTTAAGATGCATTACAGTACAATTCATGATTGAGTCTTAAAAATGCTTCTTTCCTCAGTGAAGCTTTTTAACATGCTGCTGTTGCATTGTGCAGGGGTAAGGGGGATTACTTCCGACTGGGTCACGGCACAGACGTTCACGTGCGCAAGCCCCAGATGGTTGAAGGACTGAGGGGGAAGAAGATAGTTCATGTGGCCGTAGGGGCCCTGCACTGCCTGGCTGTCACAGACACTGGACAGGTGCGCTACAGGATTGTTTTTTTACATTTAGCTGCTTGGTGGTATAGAGGAGTAGCACAACTACTACTTCCTCCTACTGTTTTATTTTGGTACATTAAACAGCTCATGGTGCATGGTAAACAAAACTCACCTTTTGTTGACAAGTTTAGTGCTGGTGTAAGATGAAGTGTTGTTTGGATAGGTGTACGCGTGGGGGGATAATGACCATGGGCAGCAGGGGAACGGCACAACCACAGTCAACAGGAAGCCTACGCTGGTGCAGGGTCTAGAAGGGCAGAAAATTACCCGTGTGGCCTGCGGCTCCTCTCACAGCGTGGCCTGGACCACCGTAGATGTCACCACACCCTCCGTCCATGAGCCTGTCCTCTTCCAGACTGCTAGAGACTCTCTGGGAGCGTCTTACCTTGGTAATTTCCACCCAATCTCCATTTCTTTTCTGTTGTTGTGTGCCTCTTGCTTAAAGTTAAAGTTTTGTGCGTGTTTCTTTATAGGTGTACCATCAGACAGTGACCCATCTTTACTAAGTAATAAGCTGAATGGCGTGAGCAGTGTGAAGCCCAACAGGCCATCTCTGGCAAAGATCCTACTCTCTCTAGATGGTAATCTGGCCAAACAGCAGGCCCTGTCCCATGTGCTCTCTGCCCTGCAGATTATGTATGCCAGGTATGACCTTAATGCATATATTTAAGGTATTAGAACTACTCTGCATTCCAGATTGATTGTTTTCTGCTCCATAAAATAAAATAAATGCTCTGGAATCACTTAATTACTCTCATGTCACACAGGGATGCAGTGGTGGGAGCATTGATTCCTGCCTCCATGATGCCTCTGGAGTGTCCCTCCAGCTCTCCGGTGCCCCCTTCAGATTGTTCATCAGCATCCAGCCCCTGTGAGGCTGAGGGTCCAGCCCTGCCCTCAGAAACAGAGGAGAGGGTCAGTCCACACCCCTGGATGGACAGCAAACGAGGAGAGGTGAGGAGTGCTGCCTATGCATGACTGCCTTCACATTTGCTGTACTTTTTTTGGTGTTTGTTTGTTTTCAGTAGCCATTGTTCTGCACCATTCACCTCTTCTTTTTTTCCCTTTTACGATACAATCATTCAAATGTCCAAGACAACAGTACATTTACAAGCTTGTTCTGTCATATGGTATTGTGTGGTCTAGGTGACCACATCTGAGGATGCCACTACCCCTTCTTCAGCCGTGACCCCTTCCGCTGCCTCTGCTTCATCTCGGCCCTTTATCCCAGTCACAGATGACCCTGGTGCTGCCAGCATCATTGCTGAGACCATGACCAAAACCAAAGAGGTCAGTCGCACATGCTTTTATGCAGTGGTTTAATAAAGCTAAACACTTATTTATTGATTGATTGATTTATTGATCAATTTATTTTATTAGTTTTATTTTTAATAATTTTTTTTATGTATTGTAATTCATTTTTTTGTTTGTTTATGGTGGCATCAGCTTTTTAAATTTGTTTTAATTAAAAAAAAATTTTAAACTGCTATGACGTACTATAATGTAATTATGGATGCATGTCTCAATTTATGATTGTGTGTTTCTTGTTTTGTTTACCATAAGGGATTGTCTTTCCGAGCTAGCGTTCATTTATTTTCAATTTTTTGATTAGGGAACACTGTGTTCATATAAATGCATGGCTCTTTGACTGCGTTATAGAGGAAAAATAACAGAATGGCCCAAGTGAATTCTAGCCTGCCGGTCATAGAAATGTTCCTGTTAATCATACTTTGGAGATGTTTGTTCCTGATCATTAAAATGAAATGCATGCATTAAGTCTGTTTAAAAAGGATTACATTTGTATGTTGACTTTGCTTCAATCCCTTGTATAAACTGAAGTGATATTTACAGTGGCCTGGTTTAATTTATTGGAACAGGACTCTGAGAGCCAGAGTAAAGCAGTGGGCCCAGAGCCACAATATCTGGATGAGTTCACCAGTCTGCTGGTTCCCGATGACACACGTGTGTTGGTAGACCTGTTAAAACTGGCTGTGTCTCTGCGCTCAGGCGATAAAGGCAAGGAAGTGCTGTCTGCTGTGCTGTCTGGCATGGGTACAGCCTTCCCACAGGTAAAAACCAACCTCTTTTCTAACTCACTGCATGTTTTTCTAACTAAAATGGTATCATTTCATCTTTGAAATTTGTGTACTTGTATCTAAATGTGTTTGTTGGCACACAGGTGGCAGATATGCTGCTGGAGTTGTGTGTGACTGAGTTAGAGGACGTAGCCACTGACTCTCAAAGCGGACGGCTGTCATCGCAGCCTGTGGTGGTGGAGAGCAGTCACCCATACACCGATGACACTTCCACCAGCGGAACTGTGAAAATACCAGGTCACCTTGTGTTTTTCTGTTTATTCAGCATCTCAGCAGCCATAACAACCTCATTGCTGGTGCTTGCCAAAGTATTATTGTTTTTATTTGAACAAATTCCTAAACCTAAGTATTAAACTTTGGCACAGTTGCTGTAGACGAAGTATTGCACAAGCCACTCATATTTTCTTCAGGATATTTAAAAATCTAGTATTTTATTGTTGATGGAAATTAACCAATGCTGGATTTATTTGATCAAAAATGCAGTAAAAACAGTAATATTGCATTTTACAAATAACTTTTTTTTCCCTGTACTTTATTCCTGGAATGGTATGCTGAATTTTTAACTGCCATTACTTTAGTCTTCATTGTAACATGATCCTTCATCTCCTTCAGCTTCATTTCTAGAAACATTTCAAATTTTATCAATGTTGAAAACAGTTGTGCTGCTTAATATTTTTGTAGAAACCATGACACATTTTTTCAGGATTTTTTGATGAATAGGATGTTCAAAAGAACAGCATTTATTGGAAATTGATTTTTTTCTAACATACTCTAAATGTTGTTATTGTAACTTTTGATTAATTTAACACATGCTTATTGAAGAAAAGTATTAATTTCTTTCAAAACATTTTTGAGCTGTAGTGTAGATGCTTTATGAAGCTCTGTGTTCTAAGAATTAGCAGATTTAAAGACATTAAAATTTGATCTTGCGTGTGGTTATTTTAGGTGCTGAAGGTTTGAGGGTGGAGTTTGATCGCCAGTGTTCAACAGAAAGGAGACATGACCCTCTTACCATCATGGATGGAGCCAATAGGATTGTGTCTGTTCGATCAGGTCACATTCTTTTTCCTTTTTTCTTTTTAACACTATTCAAAAAGTTGTTTGATCATTGGCCACATGACCTTACGTGTTTCCACCCCTTTAGGTCGTGAGTGGTCTGATTGGTCCAGTGAATTGAGGATTCCAGGAGATGAGCTGAAATGGAAGTTCACCAGTGATGGCTCTGTTAACGGCTGGGGCTGGCGCTTCACTGTCTATCCCATCATGCCTGCTGCTGGTACATCAGTTTAATATGAAATCACTTCATTGTACATACTTCATATGTAACATGATATTCTGAAGTTCTTGACCTTTTTATTGAATTACCTGCAGGTCCTAAAGACCTCCTGTCAGACCGTTGCATTCTGTCCTGCCCTTCGATGGATCTAGTAACATGTCTGCTAGACTTTCGCCTGAACTTTGCTTCAAACCGCAGCATTGTGCCAAGGTTGGCAGCCTCACTTGCTGCTTGCGCCCAGCTCAGTGCCTTAGGTAAGAGAAGTAAATTTAGAAAAATGTATATATATATAATTTAGAAAAATTATAGTATACTGTATTTTTTATTTTTATATTTGTATGTATAATTAATACAATTATGTTTGATGTTTTATTATAATTAATACTAGTCCATGTTTTGGAGATATTGTTGATGTGAAATATTTAAATGTCTGTATGTGTCTTGGGCTTTTAGCAAAAACATTTAATTCTTGAAATCTCAGATTTAATCTTGAAATCACAAATTTAAGGTTTTAGAATCAATATTTTACTATGTCTTTGTCTCTATGTGCTTGTTCAGCAGCTGGTCATCGTATGTGGGCCCTGCAGAGGCTACGCAAGCTCCTAACCACTGAATATGGCCAATCCATAAACATCAACCGCCTCTTAGGAGACAGTGAAGGAGAGGCTCGCTCTATGGTTAAACAATGTTCTATGCAATTAATTAATGTATTCATTTATGTATTATATAATTAACGTAACTTGTATTGAATGTTGTGTAGAGTTTTACAGGAAGTGCACTAGCCGCTCTGGTGAAAGGACTTCCCGAGGCTTTACAGAGACAGTATGAGTATGAGGAACCCATAGTCAGAGGTGGCAAGCAGCTGCTCCACAGTCCTTTCTTCAAGGTATGTTTGTCTTCCTAACAGATGGGCATAGTAAGATATGCCACATGAGTTTTCCAAAAAATATTTTTTTCTTGTCCTGTGTAGGTGTTGGTGGCACTTGCATGTGATCTGGAGTTGGACACTCTTCCATGCTGTGCTGAGACACACAAATGGGCTTGGTTCCGCCGCTATTGTACCGCATCCAGAGTGTTAGTGGCTCTGGACAAGAGGACTCCTTTGCCCCGCCCTTTCCTGGATGAGGTAGGGGTTTCTAATATTGGTTGGAAATTAGAGAATCTCTTACTTAATGGAGAGCTGTTATATTTATGTTCTGTGAACTTTTTGCATTTTTTTCCACTAGGTGGCAAAGAAAGTCCGTGAGCTCATGGCAGACCTTGAGAACATGATCACACTCCATGAGAGTCATGACCTGTTTAAGAGGGAGCAGGATGAGCAGTTAGTTCAGTGGATGAACAGGTAAATCAACTAAACAAATCTGAGACCAGTGTTGTTTAGCTAGTGAAACAAAACCAAAAATGACTTGGTGCTCTTTATGTAACATTTTAAATGGATGGAGTTCTATTATAACGTTTTTTTTTTTTTTATTTCACAATTTCTTCATGTTTTCTGTTCACTAGACGACCAGATGATTGGACTCTCTCAGCGGGCGGCAGTGGGACCATCTACGGCTGGGGGCACAATCACCGGGGTCAGTTAGGTGGTATTGAAGGAGCAAAAGTCAAGGTTCCCACACCAACAGAAGCTCTAGCCACACTGCGACCTGTTCAGCTGATCGGTGGAGAGCAGACCCTGTTCGCTGTAACCGCTGATGGGAAAGTAAGGCTTTTCACATTTTAAAAATGTTTAAAATTCAAAGCCAGCAAAGGTTCCTTTAAAATCTTCAGTACAAATCTCATTTGTATTTTTTTTTCAATGCCCAGCTGATAATTTTTTTTATTAAGTACAGACCTATGTTGTATATTCAGCAGTTGTTCTAATATGTCAGCCGAATAATGTCTTTAGTGACTTGTCTTTGCTGTCCTCAGCTGTATGCTACAGGATATGGTGCCGGTGGTCGACTGGGAATAGGAGGCACAGAGTCCGTCTCCACTCCGACCCTGCTGGAGTCAATCCAGCATGTTTTCATCCGGAAGGTGGCTGTGAACTCTGGCGGGAAGCACTGCCTGGCTCTCTCCTCTGAAGGAGAACTGTACTCCTGGGGAGAGGCTGAAGATGGAAAACTGGGACATGGAAACAGAAGGTCAGCCCCATACTGTGGTTACTACTCTTGTCCTTTCACATGGGCACCTTTGGTTCATCTCATGTAGTGACCTTCTTCATACTTAACTTTCAGTTCGCTTTCACAACGAAACACAGCATCACACACGGCGACCTAGAGTGAGCGGCGGCGGCTTAGAGTGAGCAGAGGCCGGGGGCTGGAGTGAGGAACGGCCGGAGGGCTAGAGTGAGCAGAGGCAGCGGATTCGACGAAGGAGCGTCCGGCAGGCTTGCGTCAACCACATGTGACGGCCCCCTGGCTGGACTCCGCTTTGTCACAACGAAGCACACAGCGTCTTCAGGACATGGCGGCAGCGGCAACGATACTACAGTGAGAATAAAAGTTATGCCTTCTTTCTTTGTGTGAACATTTGGGCGGTGTTATGCAAATCTTCCCACATAGTGATGTAGATATGTGGGGGCATGTTAGAACGAGACGTTTTAGGTAGACGTGGCTGACTCTTAACTTTTATAAAGAATATCTCTTTGGATTTGAGACTTTAGTCTTTGCAACTTTACAGATCTTCTTTATGCACCAAGAGCTTGTAACACTAAAAAGAGAAAGGAAAAATTGAAATCGCATCATATGACCCCTTTAACAGTTTCCCATTTTCACAGTGAAGACAAATGCTTACAGAAAAGTACATTTTGGACATGATACCATGGTATTCTTTAGTGTCTTTGAGTACCATGTAAATTCTGAATACTGTACTATGGGACCGCCTGATACCACGACTGGATCGTACCACAGTACTTCATGTAGTTCCTTAAAGAAGCAAAAGTCATTACCCACTCCAATATGTGCGCCAGACTATCACTGATTCGGTTTAGCAGCTTATACTAAGAGTTACTGTATGTGTGACTGGTAGTGCTGTCTTTTTCCCAGCCCATGTGACCGTCCACGCGTGATCGAGTCTCTCAGAGGGGTGGAAGTGGTGGACATTGCGGCCGGTGGGGCCCATAGCGCCTGCATTACAGCCAGTGGAGAGCTCTACACGTGGGGAAAAGGTCGTTATGGTCGCCTGGGTCATGGAGACAGTGAGGACCAGCTTAAACCAAAACTGGTGCGTTCATTACGTTATGCATATTTATCGGGCACGAAACTTTGATTGCAAATAGAAAATAACACACATTTACTTTATAGAACTATTTTTCTAAAACAAAACCATGATACATGGCATTGTTTAATGGAATGTGCATTACTAAATATCGTTAGACTTTTGTAATATAATTATTATTATTATATCATATATGATTTTATATTACACTTGTGTAACATTTTATGTTTCACTCTAAAATGGTGAATCAGAAATTGTTGTGTAAGTACAATCGAAATAATTAAAAAATATATATATATACAAAGTTCTGGCATGAAACTCTAGATGGCGCAGTCCGATAGATCTAACTCGGTATGACATAATGACATCATTATCACATGGCACAGCTGATTGGTTCTCTCCTGTATCGGTAGCCAATGAGCTCGGTGCTCAACATTCAAATATTTGGCAGTTTGCTGTAGCAGTAGCAACGCACTTCAGAAACCCTCCACCATCCCCAGCTCCACCTGTATAGATCTGCTACAGGGTGATCATGTATGCTATGGGGGTTATTCATGTTATATGTGCAGCAGTAATATTCCTTACATGCTAACAGCAGCATGTTGTGAATGTGTTGTGGAAGTCTCGGTACTTACTTGATCTGCCGCAGCAGCGTAGCAGATCTATTCCGGCAAGACCAAATACATTAACATTGCCATGTATATTACCATGCAAATCACTCCGAGAGTTGTCATGACAGAAATATATTTTTTAAGCAATTGGAAATTTATGGAAATTCATTGAATATGGTGTGGGAACAACAATAATAATAATTTACTTTAATTATTTTAATATGATAAATCGTTTTTTATTAGTATTATAATAAATAACTGTAAACTAACCAAGCAAACTGATTTTCTGAAATTAGTCAGTGATAGTTGATTTGTTTTTTGTTTTTTTTAACGTCTGGTAAGTTTGGTTTAGTTTGTAGCATATCTACTCTCTAACACTGTATATTCTGTGAATTGCCTGTGCATGTTTATAGGTGGAGGCACTGCAGGGTCACCGGGTGATAGACGTTGCATGTGGCAGTGGGGATGCCCAGACCCTGTGCCTGACCGATGATGACATGGTGTGGTCATGGGGGGATGGAGACTATGGCAAACTGGGCAGAGGAGGAAGTGATGGATGTAAAGTGCCTATGAAGGTAGGACTGCTGGTGTAGTTACTTAAGCATCAAAGGCTTTCTGGTTAGTGATTCCTGTATGAATCTTCATATCTCATTCTCTCTTTCTCTGCTTAGATTGACTCATTAACTGGATTGGGTGTTGTGAAAGTGGAATGTGGCTCTCAGTTCTCTGTAGCTCTCACCAAGTCTGGAGCAGTTTACACATGGTAATCAATCCCACAATGCAGTGGTACATAAACCGATCTTTTATTTAGTGAGAACACGTGTAGAGATTTTATGTTTGTGATTGTTTTAGGGGGAAAGGCGACTACCACAGACTGGGACATGGCTCGGATGATCATGTTCGCAGACCCCGGCAGGTCCAGGGTTTGCAAGGCAAGAAGGTCATAGCCATAGCAACTGGTTCTCTTCACTGTGTATGCTGCACAGAGGATGGTAGGTCATCATGTAGCAAGTTTATATAAAATAGATATCAGGTTTTCTTTTGTCTGGCATAGTCTATACCTATTTGTATTTGGAGTTTTTGCTAAAGACATGAATTTAAACACACAGGTGAAGTGTACACATGGGGTGACAATGATGAGGGTCAGCTTGGAGATGGGACAACCAATGCTATTCAGAGGCCCAGGCTGGTGGCGGCACTGCAGGGCAAGAAGATCAACCGTGTGGCTTGTGGCTCAGCACACACACTTGCCTGGTCCACTAGTAAACCTACCAATGCTGGAAAACTGCCTGCTCAGGTACTGTACCACCAAATATAGCTGAATCACACAGGACTACCAAAAAATCTCAAAGAACTTTGTGTTTAATGTCATGTTTAAGTAATTAAATGTTTGTCTGTAGGTTCCTATGGAGTACAACCACCTGCAGGAGATCGCCATCATAGGCCTGAGGAACCGATTACTGCTCCTGCACCACATCTCTGAGCTCTTCTGCCCCTGTATCCCAATGTTTGACCTAGAAGGACGACTGGGTGAAACTGGACACGGCGTCTCCGTTGGCTTTGACACACTGCGTGGAATCCTTATTTCGCAGGGCAAAGTAAGAATGTTTTTGTGGATAGTACTTGCATGATTTTTTTCCTACAAATTACAAGTCCTAATTCTATTTATTAATATTTGTTTTCAATATCTCTAGGAGGCAGCATTCCGTAAAGTGGTTCAAGCCACTATGGTTAGAGACAGGCAACATGGGCCAGTGGTGGAGCTAAACAGGATACAGGTACACTTGTTTAAACTGCACATGTAGTTTGAGATTTGCATTCAACTCTATCCTAATTTGGCCTCAAATAAATCTCACAGTCATAGTCCAGATGTAATATTTTGCATAAATTAGTGTATTTATTTTTTGCGTTTTTGAAATATGTTAGCAAACAGATTTTTATTTCAGTATATTGAATAGTAACCTATTATGTTTCAACCTTTATAAGAAAAAAAATATTAAACCATGTATTTGTTTACATTTTGAAAAACTATGACCAAAATGCATGTTATTTATTCAGCAAAGTAAATTTTTGCCTGCATTTCCCATTTGGTTTGAGAGTTCATTAGGGTGGTAAACAGAATCCAAAATGAACAATTACTTTTAATGGGCAAAAATAGCTAGCGGGGCCTCCATAAAATTGTCTCCCTTTCCCTAATCACCGTAATTATTGTTGCATTTCCTGTTCCTTTCTGTCAGCACGGACACACAAGAACTATGTACACCATATGATGATTATTATTATCCGTTTTATTTTAGTTATAATTTTGAGTGCGAGTTGGCAGCACTAAATCTTAGTCTTAAATTTGTTTTTGGATCTGCTCATCATGAGGTTCTTCATGAGATTTACCCCCAAATATGTTTATACATGGACTCTAATAGGGTCCCTGGAGCCTGGCACTGATCTGGCAAGTCTCACAGCCGGAAAGCATAACAATGGAGTTTATACATCAGAGCAGAAATGCTGTATATGGAGAAGCCTGTAATAACTTACACTCATTCTCTCAACCAGGTCAAGCGTTCCCGCAGTAAAGGAGGACTGGCAGGGCCGGATGGCACCAAGTCAGTATTTGGGCAGATGTGTGCTAAGATGAGCTCTTTCAGCCCTGACAATCTGCTGCTACCACACCGGGTCTGGAAGGTCAAGTTTGTGGGTGAGTTTATATTTGGAGAGGGATGAAAGATGGGAAAAAGAGGGAAAAAGGCCCTTGGATCGTATCTTTAACATGTTTCTTACCCTTTGTGTGTGTTTTTAGGTGAGTCAGTTGATGACTGTGGTGGCGGATACAGTGAATCTATCGCAGAAATGTGTGAGGAACTACAGAACGGTCTCACTCCTCTCCTCATCGTCACTCCTAACGGCCGAGACGAGTCAGGAGCGAATAGAGATTGCTTCCTGCTCAACCCAGCTGCCAAGTCCCCTCTGCACATCAGCATGTTCCGCTTCCTAGGTACCTTCTGCTTGTGTTTCCCACACTGAAAATGCTTGCAAGGCTTGAGGAAACAGTCTAAAATTGTACAGCTGTAGTACTTCCCTCCATTAGATCTGTTGATCTACCATGCTCTCTTCTTTTAATTGTGTATAGGAGTACTCCTGGGCATAGCAATCCGTACAGGAAGTCCTCTAAGTCTCTACCTGGCAGAACCTGTGTGGAAACAGCTGGCAGGCATGAACCTGACCATTGCTGATCTCAGTGAGGTAGGATCGTGTGTCTGTGTGTGCGTGTGCATCCAAGATTTTTATCACAAACGAAAACTTTCACAAAACTAAATGTTAAAGAAAAATGTTCAGTTGTATTCACATGTTTGTTTGTTTGTTATTGTTTTTTGTTTCTGTTTTGCTGCTTTTTAGGTGTTTTGTTTTCAATTAACACTTCAGGGGGTATTTCAGAAAGCATTACTCATGATGACACATGGTACTACATACCTGGACTTAACTTTCATTGCAAAAATGTACATTGTTACAGTATATAGTTATATAATAATTAAAATTCATATGTGACACATCTTACTTTAAAACAAATGTGGAATCAAAATGTTTAAATTTCAATCAGTCTTTATTTAATTTTCTGTGTTTAGATTTGTTTCGATTTTATTTATCTATTTATTTTGTCTGTGGGTGTGTGTGTGTGCGTTTTTTTATTTGGTTGATTTGATTTGATTTCATTGTTTCACAAAACCAAAACGAAACACAAAAAACAAACCAAAACAAAAATGCTTAAACCAAAACATGAAACCAATGCAAAAAAATCTAAAACAAACCAAAAATCAAAACGAAACAAAGAAAAAAAACAAAACTGCTAAAAAATACATTTAAAAAGAAGGATTGATTGAACTAAAAGACAAGACTGATCAGTCTTTCTTTTTTAACTTATATTTTTAGTGACAGAACGAACTTCCAGCCACATTTTGTAACCGATAACCATGAGTAATAAGGTTTAGATTAATCAACCAAGAGTTATCCCTGCTTTCTGGAATACCCCCCAGCATTACATTGATTACACGACATGGTAAGTCTGTCTGTTGTTGGAGCTTATGGCAAGCCCTTTGAATTTGTTATGTAAAAGAAAGGAATGAGAGTACATACCAGAGTACATGCATTCTGTACATTTGTCTTTATGGCGGTCAGCTGACATAGATGACAGCCATAAACCTACCGCCTCTAATGCATATGTACTGTAAGCAGCTTTCTCTAAATCTATGTGGTATGTTTGTGCTGCAGTAAGACATTTCTCAGCAGTTGTTCAGATATCATTTTCAGATATCATTTATTTATTTATCTCTGAGATGTTTGATGTTTGAGATGCACAGTAAAGTGTGTGCACATGCACGCGTGATGTGTAAAAATGAATGTGAGCGTATGCGTCTCCTGCATTCACGCTGAGATCATGTGTTGCTGAGACGTCTGCAGTGATGGCGTTTCTCAGCGCAGGACGTCTCTTGCTCACAGAGCAGCTGTTGTTTGTTGCTTTTGCCTGGAGATATTAGAAAGGTTAAAGAGAAGGATTACCGAGCACAAGACAACAGTGAGACACTGACCGTGATGCACTCAAAAACACCCACACGTTCTTTTCATTCCTTTTCTATAGTCATTTGCACAGGTATAGACTATCTTCAGTCATTTTTGTTGAATGAATCTAGGTCATGGAGACAGTCTCCTCCACAAAATATACTCCTGCTAGATCACTCAGATCATCCAACTGCAATTTGAAGATTTGCTGGTGCCTGAATCTGAAAGTGGCAAACTTTTATTTAAATATGCTCAAGTCGTTCAAAATACTAGTGATACTTACTTACTTTAGTGATACTTACTTACTTATTTATGTTTTATTTATTTATGTTTTTGAATGAAGTCTTGTATGCTCACCAGTGCTGTTTATTTTATGAAAAAAAAAATCAGTAAAACCAGAAATATTGGGAAATGCTACTACAATTTAAAATAACAATACTTTAAAATGTAATTTATTTCTGTGATGGCAAAGCTTGATTTTTAGAAGCCATTACTTCAGTCTTCAGTGTCACATGATAATTCAGAAATCATTCTAATATGATGTGGTGCTCAAGGAACATTTGTTGGTATATCAATGCTGAAAAAAGTTGTGCTGCTTAATATTTTGTGGAAATTTGCACTTTTTTTTTTTTTTAGGATTTTTTGGTTATAAAGTTGAAAAGAACAGCATTTATTTGAAATAAATATTTTGAAACGACATTAAATATTTGCTTGCTTACTTTTCACAGTATTTTACATCTGCCCCTTTTTTGTGTGTATTAGGTGGACAAGGACTTTATTCCCGGTCTGATGTATATCAGAGATAATGAGGCTTCTGCAGAGGAGTTTGAAGCTATGCCTCTGCCCTTCACTGTGCCCAGTGCCTGTGGACAGGAAGTCCAGCTCAGCTCCAAACATTCCCACATCAGCCTAGAAAACCGCAGCGAATATGTGCGGCTAGCAATAAATTACAGGTGTGGATAATATGCTGAAAAAATGTTACCAACCAATTTTCGGGAATAAAAAGTGAATAAAATGAATTGATGAATAAAATGGATATGTTGTTGTTTTGTTTCTCCAGACTGCATGAGTTCGATGAGCAGGTGTCTGCAGTAAGGGAAGGTATGGCACGTGTGGTACCGGTGCCTCTGCTCTCTCTCTTTACTGGCTATGAGCTGGAGACCATGGTGAGTGTGTCATAAACGCAGACTGAGCATATGTCATCATGAATTCTTATTTGACTCCACATCACTTGTTTGTGTTGTTTAGGTGTGTGGCAGTCCGGACATCCCCCTGCACCTGCTCAAATCAGTGGCCACATATAAGGGGGTGGAACCAACTGCTCCACTCATCCAGTGGTTCTGGGAGGTGATGGAGTCTTTCTCCAACACAGAACGCTCGCTCTTCCTCAGGTTCGTCTGGGGTCGCACGCGCCTCCCCAGGACCATCGCAGACTTCCGTGGACGAGACTTTGTGGTGCAGGTAACTTGTGGCTCTGAAAAGTGTCACTTAAAGGGACCGTTCCCCAAAAAGTAACTTCTACTTAACCGCATATATACGTATATATACACTACCATTCTCAACAAGGCTGCATTTATTTGATCAAAAATATAGTAAAAACTGTAAAGCAGTAATGTTGGGAATTATTATACGAATTTAAAAATAACTTTTATTTTAAAATAGTTTAAAATGTAATTTGTGTGATGGCAAAGCTGAATTTTCAGTATTCATTACTCCAGTCTTCAGTGTCACATGATCCTTCAGAAACCATTATAATATGCTGATTTGTAGATCAAGAAACATTTCATGTTATTATCAGAAATGAAATAATTTTGCTGTAAACTGTAAAACATTATTTGAGTAGAAAGTTCAAAAGAACAGCATTTATTTAAAATTGTATTAGATTTTTACAAAAGTTTATTACTTGTTTCTTTTTTAAATTGCATAATTATACCGTACTTGTTTTATTTACTTGCATAATTCTGACTTTTTCTCATAATTGTCAGAATTGCACAATATAAACTCTGAATTGATATAAAATCTTGAGAAAAAAGATCAGAAATGTGAGATCACTATGACCTTTTTTTAAGAAAAACTGAATTGCAAGATGTAAAAATGTCAGAATTATGACATGTAAACTCTAAATTCTAAGAAAAAAGTCACAATTCTTTTTTTGTCAGATTTGTGAGTTTATATTTTTGCAATTTCATATTTATATATTACAATTTTGAGAAACAGTCCGAATTGTGAGATAAAAAGGTGCAATTATATATTTTTTATTCCATGGCAGAAACGAGCTTCTGTGTGTGTTTGTGTGTGTGTATATGAATGTTAGATAAATTATATGTACGAATAAATATTAGTGCTCATTTTTAGAATATTTTTCCTATTTGACCAGGTGCTGGACAAATACAACCCCCCGGACCACTTCCTCCCAGAGTCCTACACCTGCTTCTTCCTGCTCAAACTGCCTCGCTACTCCTGTAAGCTAGTCTTGGAGGAGAAACTAAAATACGCCATTCACTTCTGCAAGTCCATTGACACGGATGACTACGCACGAATTGCTTTGAGCGGTGAGCCGGCCGCAGATGACAGCAGCGACGACTCTGACAATGAGGATGCGGACTCCTTTGCTTCCGACTCCACGCAGGATTACCTGACAGGCCACTGAACTCTTAACCCCTGGTTAAACTCCATCTCACAAACACACACACAGACATAGTGTAGGAAGTCTTGAAAATAAGCTGACAAAAAGAAGTTTAAATGAAAACTGAACCGAAGATGTCTGTTTTAACCTCACTTATTAATATATGTGCATAGACACAAATACAACTAAATGAAGAGAAATAGGTGTATATCATTATGTGCAATTAGCTTTAAAGCACTATTAAGCTGGTGAAAAGCAAGATGGAGATTTTTTTTTTTTATCTTTGTTGTGAAGAGAACCAGGAAGACGGGAGAAACTACACATCTTTGTTAAACATTGTGTTCACGTTTTATTACAGAGGACAGACCGCTTAGCCTAGCACTGTGGTAGATGACTCCTGACAGACTCCTGATCGATTTTGTGTTAAATAGGTAGTATTATGAACTGTAGCTTTGCCTTTTTATTTGAAAAGAGCAGTGTTTCTTTAAGAGCCTTTTTAACTTTGAGCAGCACATTTTGTTTTCTCATTTGGTCAGTGGAAGCCTGGTCAGGGGTTGCTTTTAGGTCGTCGGTCACCGTATTCTCTCCTCCTTCTATATGTGTCTGCACTGTTCTCCTAATGGAATGTATATAATTTGATTGTGCCATGTGTTTATGAGAGGTCTCATTCCCATGTTATATATAAATGTTAATTTCTGTTAATAAATTTAAACCATATTTCTCTTGTAAGGTTTATTTTCTTGTTTTAACACCTGTTTTCCTACATTTCTTTGGAATTTATATCATTATATATTTTTGTGTCTTTGTAGAGTATATATTGCTTGTTTGAATTGGGAAAAATTCAATACAGATTTATAATAATAAAAAAAAATACTAGCCGATAGCAGTATAGTTTCCAATATATCGGTCAAAATATTGATCGATATATCTGAGATAGATAGATAGATTCTGCCCGATTATGATTATGCCCGATATTTAATATGATAGCCTATATTGTATAAAAATCCATATTCACTGTCTGATAGAAAAGAGTGGCAACAGTTTATTGTAAAATTCAAATTTGTTGTTTGAATTTGAAAATGTAAGCTCTGAAATTACTTGCCTCTGGTATTAATACTGGTATATATCTTACATTTTCAAATTCAAACAAATTTGAATTTTACAGTAAACATACATACTGTATATACATTTACAGAAATGCCCAATATGTAGTCAGTTTGCCATTGTTTCAGGATAACACGGTTTAGGTTCAGTCTACTTTGGCTTTAGTCTCGTGTGGATTTTCCAGACCCTTTGAGACACATTCCTCTCGAACACTAACCTAAACGGTTTAATAAAATCCTCATAATGACCTGCACGACTCGCATTGGCTTATGTGGTAGAGAGTGAGCACTTCCATCCCTTACAGTTCTCACGTGCAGCCAGAGGATAGTCAAGTGATGTTTATCCGTGAACCGGCTGAGCCATCGAGCTTTGCATATATTACTTTTGGTTCACAGGCTTTGTTGTTAATGGGCCACAGTAGTAAGCTCAGAGGTCAAGGGTCACATCGTAACCCGCCTCCTCTATCCTCTGTCTACGTCAAAGTGTGACATAGGCCGTGGAGATAAAAGGGTATTAGGGGTGCATGACACAGAGAAAAGAGGAGGGGAAAGTGTTTTATGATGGCTTAATTTGGCTTAGAAAGCAGGAGCATTCTTCACCGTCTTAATGCTTTTTTCTTTCTTTCATGAGCAGAAATCATAGAGCGCATTATGCTGGAATGGGTCAGGTGCTCTACTCATGTCGGGTTGGCTCCAGGCAACCTACACATGCTCTCTCTCTCTCTCTCTCTCTCTCTCTCTCTCTCTCTCTCTATATATATATAGGCTGATACAATATTTTTCAGTAGTAGACCACACTGTATATTTGGTTATGAAATACGGCTTTAATTAATCTTAAAAATTGAGGAGTTCTGTTCCTGTACCCTTCTTGCTTTTCCTGTCGATTGAGGAAATGAAATGTTATGTCAGAAGAGTTGAATTCATTCGGTTGGGTTGCATAAGCAGACATCACTGTAGGAGGGCATGTGTGTGGTCAGTGTGGACTTTTTTTGTGATTAGGAGATCTCAAGACAGCTGGGATCCTTTGATGGCTGGATCTGTTGGATGTTTTATAGGATCTCAATAGCCACATACTGAATAACGCACACTTATCTTTACCTCTTTGTCTCCTTTCCTCATTATTATCCGAAGACTCTGTTTGACCTTGCAAAGTCCAATTATGCACTTCAGTGGGTTTCACAGTCTCTCCCATTTCTGATGTACACCAGTATAAATGGGCTCCCACCGGATCACTTTGAGCTGATACTACATCACATCCAGGCTTTTTTTTTCTTTGAGGAATGTGCAGGAAGTGCTTAGGAATTATAAATTAATTCAAACAGCTGTCTGATTGAAGTCTTATTCTGAAATCAGTTCCCACTTATCAGTATCGTGGCTTCATCAGTGCTTGTTAAAATGAGGAAGAAGTTTCCCATTTGCCTTAATGACAGCAGCACTTGAGCATGATCTCAACATGATTGTGTAAAACTTTTATCCAGCATGATCCAGCTTATGCATGAATTCGGTGTTGTTATATTGGCCATAACCCCAGACCCGAGTGTACTGTGTGCACTGGGCCAAAATCCAGAATCTACTAGAAGTCACATGAAAGTCTCACTCTTTCCTCTTCCCCACAGCGATCAACGGCGCTTTTTCCAACCCGTGTGATACACCACATCACCTCCATGATCACTCAGCTCTCTCCTCCTTTCCATCTGGCTGCTTAATGACACTTTCACATGCATTTTATTCTGAAATGTGATTAAAAATGAAAAGAAAGTGTCCGACGCAGAACTATGTGTGTTAAAAGTTGCCCACCCAGAATCAGCTTGGATAATTCATGTCCTTTCTGCTTTATTAGTTCCTTTAAAGCAGCACTATGTAACTTTTGGCGCTCTAGCGGTTAATGAGTTACTATTTCAAATAAGTAACTCCAGTTACTTTGTTTCCCACGTCTTGACTGACAGCTCTCTTGTTGCCATGTTGAGAGAAATCGGGAGTAAATGCAGAGGTGTTGTGTGTGCTGTGTGAACATGATGTTACTGCAGTTCTAGACTAAATGTGAACATGCATTTACTCATCTCACCTGCACAAAAACAGATTCAGTGTTCCTCAAAATGAATAAAAACAGTCAAATGCAAGCTCAGAATATTATACTTTAAAAAGTAACTCAAAAGTAACGTAACGCATTACTTTCCATAAAAAGTAACTAAGTAACGTAATTAGTTACTTTTTTAGGGAGTAATGCAATATTGTAATGCATTACTTTTAAAAGTAACTTTCCCCAACACTGATTACAAGTGTACCGTAGTGATTCGGAATAAGACAAAAACGCGGTTTGGAAGATGAATTCATATGATGTACTCGCTCATTATATATATTTAGCAAATTTTGAACACAGAAAAAGTTACATAGTGCTGCTTTAAAACATAAATAGGATGATGTCATAGATTTGACACCTGACCTGTGACTTCGACCCCTGCCAATAATCTGCTTGCTATGTCTCCTTATTAGTGCTGACACCTGTTTTTTTTATTTATTACTTTTTTTTATTGATGCCTGTGAAGACTTTAAATTCTGTGGACGCAGATTGTAGAAAATGTGGAAGTACTGAGTTAGTAATGCTGGTAATTTAAAAAAAAACTATTGCTCATTAAAGCTCACTTTGTATTTCAAGGGACTGATTCTTTTGAGTGTCAACTTTGTCTCAGATGTTTCTCTTAAATTGTGTTGGGCCATTAAAGCATGTCAACATATTCTGTTACACCAAATACACCAAATAATGATCTTTAAAAAAGCATCATATGACCCCTTTAAAGTCAACTGATAAAATACAGTGAGTTAATGGAGCTATAATATTTATGTTGAGCACTGCATAAATAATTTGGATATGGAATTATCTGATGACAAATATTTACATTCATATTGAAATATCTGACTGATTACAGTCTTCCAAAGCAAAGTTTGTGACAACTCTCAGCAATCTCTTCTGGAATTGTAGAGAAGACATATGAAAGAGTCTCTTTGATTGCTCCAATCGTTTTTTGTTTTGCTTTGACTGCGCTTTGTAAAAGCAGGTCTTGGTCAGTAAGATGGATGCAAAGTAGGGCAGTGAGATTCCTTCAGCTCTAACGTCATACATAGTAATTTGCTAGTGAGTAATACTTGAGTGTGTGTGCAAGAAACAATCATTTCTTCATTGTGTGTACTGTTTTGGTCTGAAAAGGGGTGGGTGTCTTCAGGAATTTTGGGGAAGTTGGGCAGGCCGTAAACACTAGCAGTGTTAATGAGTGTCCACTTCCACAAGGTATCAGAGGGTCTGAGAGAAGAGGAAAGAGGGAGGGCTGTTAATTCACTCTCTTCTGTCTGTGTGCAGAGTTTGCTGTGAGTCACTCCCTCATCTCCTAGAAGAAGTCTACAACTTCCATTTAAGACTGAGCATCTTCCTCCTCTTCGCAGCCTGTGTGCGGCACTCGTGAGCCAGCCAAACCTGTTCGGACCCGCTGGATTTCTTTTTTGACTTTTTAATTTTTGTTTTAATGTTATAATATCATCATTATCATCATCGTTGTCATCATCATCTTGCCCAGTTCACCGTTTCATTCTCTGAATTGGCAGGTAAGGAGTTTAGTTTAAAAAAAAGAAGAGTAGAAGTTAAATTAAAATATTTCTCTGTTTTTAATACAATTTAAAAAACAAAAAATCTGTCTGAACAGAGAAAAAAAGGGACAAAAAAATTATTTTCTTGGATACTAAACTGCAACAGTGAAGTCAATTCAATTATAATTTGCATATAAAGTAGTTGACTTTGAATGCGACCATGTCTATTTAATATTATGTTTTATGTGAATGTGGGATGCACTTTGCCTTTTATATTCACAAAAACGAAAGAAAACAAAAACAAACAAAAATCTCTGCAATTTTTGACTTGAACAGCATTACTAAATGCATTTTTCAATGGATTAATTTTTCTTCCCACACTGGAGGAGAGGAGAGGAGAGAGGGGGCAAAGAGGAATGTACAGTAATGTCTGGAGAGTGTGTGACAGCTTTGTGTGTGTTAAGATTCTTTACGGATTATTATTTCTCTGATTCAGAGGTAAAGGGTAAAGCCTTTAGCTTTTGCTTTGAAGTACAGTTTTATGTACACACACACACACATACAGTATATATATACACATACATATATTTATTATAGTTAATAAATAATTGAATATTATTTTTTTATGTTTGACCACCCCCATCTTTCTCTCTAAACTGCAAATATTTGCAGAATGACTAAAGTACTAGTAAAATTAGTCCCACCCTGAGACGGTACAGTTCGGCCCACCATCCATATTTGAGCAGGAGTCAGGGCTAATTTGAACAGGGGTAGAAAGAGAAATATTCCTGTTGTGTTTCATTTACAGTATGACACTCACTCTTGCTACAACATATTACATGTTTCTGCAGACTGTGTTAACACACTGACAGTGACCACTGACACAATAGAGCTTGTTTGATTCGGCAACAGTGAGGAATGGAAATCAAACAAGCTCCCGTCACTAGTCATTGGTCACAGGTCACTGATAAGTCCAAGCGTCTATTCAGGCAGACCTTGAGCTTTCAACACAATGACTTTCCTCTGTCTGAACTGTAGCACAGTTTGAGAAAAGAGTGACCTCTAGTCCTAATCCAATTACCCTGGACACTCTAGAAAGTGGTTTATGATTCCTGAAGCATTATTGTTTGGCTTCTCATTGATTCGCCATGCCACTTCTGGTGTTTTTTGTTGTTGTTTTTTCTCACTCATATGGTTATTAAGGGCTACAAACAATAGGTGGTGGTCTCAAGGACATAATGGGTCTCTCATTTATATACAAACAATTCAAAAGGAAGAATATAGGCAGAAATAGCCTTAAAATCTCATAGGCTGTCAGTGAAGGGATGTCATACTCTGTTATGTGAAAATAAGTTTCTTTCTATTATGAGGCAGTCTGCTAGAAAAATGGGAGGTGGGTTTTTTGTTGTTGTGCTGCACAATTTCCACTAGGGGGAGCTGTTTAATAAAACCTCCTTAATAGAATGAGTAAAGCTATTTCCATTGCTCAGTCTTAGGGTTAGGGATTTCAATATTGAATAGATAATTGAATTCATGGAATTAGTAAGCTGATTTTATTGTTTTTAATTCTATATGTTTAATGCCATAACATTTAACACCTTTAACTATTTTGACTTTATAATGGCTTAAAATATCTATGTAATAGTTCTATTATGTACTGTAGTGTTATTAATATTGTAACCACTGATCTCTCTCTATTTCTGTGTTTTAGATTTAGGGTAGGGCAGTGTTGTTTTAGTATTAGTTATGTAGTATAATAGATTTCAAATTAGCTTTGATTTTTTTTTTTTCAGTTTTCATTTTAAGTTTTAGTAATTTCATGTGTTTTTATCTTTTATTAGTTTCTGTTTATTTTAATATTTATTTAGCCTTAATTTATTTTAAGTAGTTTGAGTACTTCTACTTAAACGTATTGTATTTTACTTGTCAATGCAACATTTCTAATTTTTAGAATGTTTTACATCTAATATTTATATTTATATTTTATTTTAGCTTTATTTCACTTAATGATTTTTTAAAAGAATGAATTAATTTTAGTTTTATTTAACTATCACTGGAGCAGGGGTGGGGTTTAAAATATCTTTGCAATAGTAAACTATACAAATATATTTATGAAATAAAGGATTTTTGTTTCTAAAGCTGTGCATATGTAAATAAATGCAACTCTAAAAATTATGGTCATTAAAATTAGTAAACCATTTTCCACAATGTTCTTCTGCTCAAAAACACAGCCTACTTACCCCCCCCCCCAACCCCCCCTCCACACACACACAAAAACTCTTGTTTTACCATTAAAGTTAGACTCTGTCTACAGCTGTGAGTTTATAGAGGTCTATGTGTGAAGATGTAGGTCTCTGTGTGAAGGAGGGTGTGTAGAAAAGTAACGCCAGGGTCAAAAGGGTGAAGTAAGTTCTTAATTAGAATGCTTCTGTGTCTGTGACTCTCAGACTGGAACCTTACAGTCTAGCTGTCAATCACAGATTGAGACGTTAACTCTTTAAATGCCTGAGACTTTGAAATAGCAAAGGGAATGTGGCTATAATATGTGACCATACACGTTAAGAAGGCTTACAGTAGTGTTTGTGGCATTAATACTTATTATTCTATATATCTAAAGTGTCTTGGTAATTATAATGAGTCTTGATGGAAAAAATATGAATGTTATTTGACTGTATTTGCTATATACATGGAGAGGGCAGGTGCATCCTTAATATGGAAAAATATCATACGCAATGCAGTTCTGTATTTCTAATTATTTCTGTCTATACATCATTGTTCTGTACATGGCTTACAGAAGTCCTTTTAAACTAGAAATGAAAGTCTCAAAAGAACTCATCTGATGCTAATTACCATAAATATGAAACCTATGCCGCATTAAAAGATCATTTGACCTCAGTGTTCCCCTTTTCCTCCAGTTGCGGTCCAGTGTGCCTGAGTGAAGATGTACCTGGAGAATAAGAGTAATATTGAGGTGGAGATGTCTCAAACCGGAGGCCAGGGTCACTCCAGCAGGGTAGGCTGCAGAAAGTCTGACACTGTGGCTGGGAACTTTGATGAGCTTCGTCTGCTGGAGGGATTCTCTGGGAAGAGAGAGACACAGAAATTACTGCAGGCTGCAGCCGTGCCCTCGGGACACTGCATAATCTACACTGACGTCCATCAAGATGATAGGTAGGACAGTCAAATAGTTCATCAAGGATCAATTCTGTTAAAGGGATATTTCACCCCAAAATTAAAATTCAAAATTCATCCATCATCATATACTAATTCTCATTGTGCTCCAAACTTGCATTACTGACATTCTTCTTTTAGGAATGTTTTTGTCCATAAAATGAAAGTCAGTGGAGTCCAAAACAACATCGAATCCCACTCATATTATAATTCATATTCATATTATAATTCATAATTAATACTTATTAGTTATTACTTTGATTAGCTTACTTGTTGTTCAAGTTAATAATTACAAGTCGGAATTACAAGTGGAAAACTCACAACTTTCTTTGAGTTGCAGCATCTGTATTGATGGCCAATTCTTTATGAATTAAATTATTATTTTTTATTATTTTTACATTTACAGTAAATCTAGCTAAGTTGCATGTAAAAATAGGATACAATTATGATAACTAATTTATAAATACAATATTTAACAATTTAAGATATAGCACCTTCATAAATTTAATAAAAACTTAAAACGCAAATCACACCAGCATTCTTTATTTGCCATTTTCTAGTAGTTAAATTTTTTTTTTTTTATTTGCTTGTTTGTTTGTTTTTTTTTATAGAAAGGTACCTTCAGCGTTAATTTAATATCATTGAGATTAATATTTTGAATCTTCCCCCATTTTAATTTTAGTTTTAGTTGTTGTTTGTGTTTTTGGTTTTGGAAGTTTTATCTTTTTTTTATTTTAGTACATCAAGTTAAACTAAATTAAAATGAGAAATCTTAATGCAAAATGTGCTTCCATTGTACTTCCACTATTATGGCTGACATTAAGCAGAACACATTTGGCAGATAAGGTCTCCAGAACCCTTAGTGAGAGCTTTTCTGTGTGAAACAGCTGCTAATCGACTCTAAAGAGAATTGGTGCTCACGTGTACGCACATTTTTTCTCTCACAAAGACACACATTTGATGTTACTAATGTGACTCCACATTAGTAACATCAAATGTGTGTCTTTGTGAGAGAAAAAATGTGCATGTGTGATGGTACTGTGGACTATAACAATGGGGGTCTTAATCTCAAGCTTGTGGTTGTGACACTCTTCGGATTAGACAGTACAGTTTTAGATCAGCCATCACGTGATTAATTGTTAGTCATGCATGAGATGTGATCTGCTTCTGCTCTCATGACTGCTCTCTCCTGCAGGAATTCTTTAATGATAACCACTCTCAATGAAATCAGCTGATCACATCACATGTATTATTTAAAAAAATATGTATTTCAATAGTTGTTTGTTTATCTTTCTGTCCTATGGGAAATATGCCACAGTTACATATAAATATGCCATATATTATTGCACACATATTATTATTTAAAAGGGTGGTCTCAGTAAAATTTTTAATGTGTTTGAAAGTCTCTTATGCTCACCAAGACTGCACTTGTTTATCAGAAGTACTTTAAAACACACACACACACACACACACACACACACACACATATATATAGACACACACACATACACATATAGACACACACATTTGTTTTTTACTGTCCCTTTTGGGCCATTTAATGCAACCTTGCTTAATAAAAGTATAAAAAATTATTTTTGAAATGTCAAAAATTTAAAAATTTAAATTTTCTTCATATTGTTCATGAAATTAAATTGAGTACGTCAGGTAGCCTTCAATTAGACTAGTATTCTAGGCCGGATCTAAAAGGATGGTAGGTGTCCCACTGGGTTATGTACTC